GCCATGTCCTCGAACATGGTCTTGAAGTCTTTGCCGAGTGTGCTGTATGACGAGTGAAGTTGGGAGTGGAACTCTGAGAATTCCCCAATAACCTCTTCGGAGATCCGCGCAGCAGCAGCTGACAAGCCGTTGAGGCCCTCGCCAACTTTGTATTTAACCTCTTCTCGAAGAACCTTGATCTCCTCGAGAACTTCGTTCATCTCATTGTGCGCAGTGGAGGTGTTGTTCTTTGCCTCTGCCTCGACCTTGTCAAAGGAGACATCAAGATCCTTGAGCTGGGAGCGGGTAGACTGCACAGTGTCTAGTTCATGGTCTACAAATAGGTGGATTTTGTCAGACATGTCCTCTAGCAGCTTCGCATGCTGCGTCTGGAAGATCTGCATGCGAGCATCGACCCGTTGTGTGACATGCGATACCTCACCGGTCGATGCCTGCCAGGTTTTCCGGTTATCAGTCTCCAAGTTATCTTTGCGATCCAATTTCGCGTGGAGCCCGTTCACGTCTTGAATGGTACCATTTAAAGTGGTAACTAGACCGGCACCAATGTGACGAAGTTGTTTTTCCGTATTCTCATGGGCTTTCCGCACAATCTTCTCCTCGTCCAACTTCTCCTGGGTATCCTTCCAAAACCTTTCTGTTTCGTTGAGGACATCGCGCGTTTCTTTGAGTTTGGATTGAGTCTCCTCATTGTCATGCTTTAATGAGTTGAAGTTGCCCGTGATAGAAAGTAGCTCTTGGACCTTGTGTCGAAGACTTGCCTCCATCGACTCGATCTTGGCACGCTGTTCTTCGTTGACGATTCGCCGCGATTCACTTTCCATCGTCATTTCTTCATACGCATCAGGCGTCATATAGACACCATTGCGATGCCGGGTGGCAATGAGCTCGCTCTTGAGTTTTTCGATTTCCATCCCGATATCTCGCAGAAGCTTGGTTTTGGAGATGATGGAATTGATCTGGGGTTTGTTGCGAATGTTCTTGGCTCGGAAGGCATAATCAAGGGTCGAGATGGTCTCCTCTAGGTTGTTGCGGGCAGGCGAAACAGTGGCGATGATACATGTTTTTGTTCGTCCTCCAAGTGAATCTTGTAATAGTCTCGTGAGTTTTGACTCGCGGTAAGGAATGTGCGAGCTCTTATCCACAAGAGCGTTGATCACTCTCCCAAGCGTAAGTAGACTCTTGTTGATGAGACCTGCCTCCGTTGCCCGTTTATTTTCTGCGCCGCTGCGTCCAATGTTTTCGCTACCCGCGAGATCAACCAGGTTCAACTTGCCCGAGCTAACATAGTCCTCGCCAGATTCGGTCGTGCGTTTTGTGAGAACGGTGATGGTAAAAACTGTATGGCTTCGGGAACTTAGGTCATTGCATTTTGTCGCTGCCACTTGGCGTTTGTGGCTGCCCGATTGAAGTAACTTGATTCCGGTGGACGCAGAGTCGATATAGGTCTCCTCCATACCCTGAACCATTGTGCTGTGTCCTCCCTTCTTCTCATTTTCGAAAATCTTGAGCTTGGTGCTATCGTCGTATGACAAAAGATCACGGAGTTCCTCGTTATAAAGTTCGATGAAGGAGCATTTCACTGTGCTTTCTGTGTCCTCCAGCTTGTGAAACAGGGCGTAAAGGGTACGTGGAATGATTCCTGCATCGTCGGACAGGATGCCTAATGTGTCGGTCATGTCTCCTGACATGGTGTATGTTTTTCCCGTTCCAGTCTGTCCGTATGCGAAGATTGTGCAATTATAACCTGCCAACATCTTTAAGGAATTAGGGCGGCCATGTGAATTCATGCGTGGTGAATATACTAACCTCGTCCAGGACCGGTACAACCACATCCTCATAGACAGTTGTTTGATCGGCTGCCGGGGAGAAGACCTTGTCGAATGCATATGTCTTATTCGAAACCGCGTTCGGTCCCATCGAGAGATCGAGGGTCTTTCCCTTCACACCTTCTGGTGTTGACAATACTACGCCGTTGTTCTCTTTGATCTCGCGATCACTGCGGCCGCGACAGCGGACTACCACATGGATGCTTGTGTCCTCGTTGATCTCCCGTTCAAAGTCTTTCTCCTTCCTCTTACTCGCGACGCTCGATTTTTCAGGACTCCTCGCTACACGAGCTGCACTCATCGCAGAGGACCTCACTGACGGTGTAGACACCGCAGGCGGTGCATGGCGTTCGGGGACTGCCGAACCCGCTCGTCGAACCGGTTGGCGCAAACCCGACCTCCTCGTGGTGGGGAGGGTGGACGGGGGCCTTGGTGGGCCAACCATGTTGACAATGCGACACTCGGAGTGTAATGGTATTGCTCTGTAGCAATATTCGGCTTTGAGAGTTGATTTGATCTTTTCAGGCTATGTCGGAGTCTAGCGTTGTGAATATGGAGCTTTGTCTCAAACGGGAAAACATAAACAAATGCTTACATAACACGGTCATTTCCCCCTCTCACATGACTCGGTCGGCTGCGCTATCGTCATCGCCCGTCTTATCGCTATCCACCCCCTCATACCATGTGGACATCCCTTACATCCTTCGGAGCCTCCCCTTTTTAAACTAATACAGCTCGACTATCGCATGGACTTTCGTCCATAGTCGGGTCATGAAACCAGATAGACCACTATGACTACTTCTACTTTCTCAACGCAGGCACAAATATTCCCCGGGAAAGGACTCGGGTTTATCAGTATGTCTCTTTGTCTAGCCTCACGGCCTTTCCAGCGCTCGCTAATACTTTGGAAGCTCTGGGAGCTTCGCTCCATAATGTCCTCACCCGTGTGAAGTCCTATCCCCAAACCTATCCCGCCATCGACTTAGCCTATTCCCCCGCAGATCCACTTCGCAAACCAGTGGTACTGCAGTTGCCTTCAAATGGCCTGCGCCTTCGATTTGACGGTCCTGACCAGAGGCTCCGTTTGATTGAAGTCCTCGATTTCTCTCGAGTGAACCTGGTATACAAAAATCAAGAGGTGCTCAAAGGTGGGAAGTCAGCAGAACAACCCTTGTCTTCGCACGGCCCCAGCTTCCGGCACGTCTACAATCGCTTGTTTGGTCCCTCATACCCAGGAGAATACGTACCACCGGCAGATCCGCAGTCGCCATATGGTACCTATGTGCTCTCGTATCCCGGGGTTGCATTCTCATTTCCCCTTCAGCACTCAGCCTGGTCCGACCAGTGTGATTTTGTAGCGTTGTTATCTTCCTCGGCTGCCCTTCCGGCCACATCCATGTCAATCTTCCAAGGGTCATCATGGCCCGAGGTCCGAGCCAAGTTGTTCACGCAACAGGCACAGTACCCACGCTCGTCGGCTTTGATTGGCAAATCCCGAGAATCCCTCGCGGATGAAATTGAGGAGTGGCATGTCCTCGGTGCTGGGAAACTTGAAGTGGCTCGCAGGACGAGTTCTCCCTTGTACATAACACTAGGAGAGACCACTCCCCAGGACTTGGTTGCGGATTTCGGTCCACCCGACGCAATCTATCGTAAGAACGACCGCCGAATCTCGATTCATCGTGCAACCGGGGGCGGGGACCTGCACCTGAGTCCATCCCCAGGCAGGGGAATCGAGATTCCGGACGCCGACCACTCATCCACTAACAGCGTAACTGATGATTCTGACGAAGAGATGACTACCTTCAATATTGGAGACCCCACCTCACTGCCCGCAGAGTGCTTTTTGAATTACTTCCACCATGGATTCGATGCCTTCATTTCGTATCCAACAACAGCTGGACCTGCTTTCCCTGCTTCCGGCGTTCCAGATCCATCGCCTCAGCCAGTATCTTCCCAGCTGACCGTGACAAAGATTATTCTTCATGGGAACGTCCCAGGTTCTTATCCATTCAATCGCCACCGCCGAAGTCGCTGGTTGATTCATTTGGATGAATCTGGCGACTGTCTGACTTCGGAATCGCCCTATGATGAAGTCTCAGAGCGGCTGCGTGCTACTTGGAAAGGATCTTATGCCAGCCCCGCCGAGGAGCGTGCTCTGCGACGGCCAATGGTGCTGAACCGTGGCTGGGGAGATAGTCCCGAGAGCAGTGTTGAGTTCCTCGGTGGCTGGGAGGAGAGCACGGCGAAAGGTCCTCGGAGTGGTGCCGATGACCAGGATGGGGGATTAGGCAACACCGAGCTTTTTGGGTTTCCAGGGCTTTTATTTGAAGTTCTCAAGAATGGCGCCGTGAGTTGTTTGACAGTCTACTGATTTCAGACCATTGAAAGCGCCTTTAAACCATACTTCAATGCATTATGAATTATGATAATCCTAGGTATACTTAAATGCGAAACTGTACATCGTTCAATCTTAAATTGTAACGGGTGGATGATTGGCCGTTGCCTCGTAGTGGCTTCTGTTGTATTTAGCCTTTACCGTATCCCGTACTAAAGTTCCCATCGCAGATCAAAGCGATAGCTAGTCGGCTGTCCTTGTTCAACGAAGGGCCATTCCCTCCAGCCCATGATGACTTTCTTCATAGCAATATTATGGTGGATGAGAATAGCTTCGATGTGACGGGAATCATCGACTAGGAGGGCGTATGTAGGGTTTCCCTGGGAGCTAATCTTCCCCAAATTCCTTACAGCTATGCCCGTCTCATTCGACCTACCTCGGAAATACGATAATATGGGCAGCCAGTTAATGAGGAACTACGAGAATTGTGGTGCGAACGAGGAGAGTATATCGAAATGGTCAGATCAGCCGAGCTCGAAGATAGCCTATTTGTATGGGGCGTATACTAGTGTTGGAAAGCTAGATTGGTATGATGTGGAAAACGGAAATGACTCCCATGATTAAGGCAGACAAGGTGTTAAGACTAAGAGCTATGAAGATATCGGAGATTGAGACATGGCTTTTAATGTGCATTCACTTCGCTTTAATTACATGGTGATCTATCAGCATTGGTCCACTATCTAGATGTTTGATTATTTCTTTGTTTCCTCTGATGTATACACCATATATGACGATTTGCAACCCTGAAGGCACAGAGGATATGACGCTTCACCCGATCAAGTGCCTAGGTTCTGAGCCTCGCACATCTTCGGATAAAGTCGACCTTTGCGCAGTAATTCCTCATGGGTTCCAGACTCGGCGATCTTGCCCCCATCAAACACGCAAATCATATCCGCGTGGCGAATAGTCGACAAGCGATGGGCAACTGCAATCGTGATTCTATCCCCCTGGGAAGCCGCCTCATTCAGCGCATCTTGGACAATTCTCTCTGACTGAGTGTCCAATGCGCTTGTTGCTTCATCTAAGAGGAGTAAACGTGGATTGCGGAGCAACGCTCTGGCAATGGCAATGCGTTGACGTTGCCCACCAGAAAGCTGTGTCCCGTTGGTTCCACAGAGAGTCATAAGGCCTTCAGGCAGAGAAGATATAAATTCCCACGCGTTAGCGGCCCGGCAGGCAGCCTCAATATCACTGTCAGGAACCGTTGATGCGCAACCCGTCGGTGTCCCCATGGAGACGTTTTCGCGAATGGTTCCGGGATAGAGAGTGGGCTCTTGCTGAACAAGTGCCACTTGGCCTCGGTACAGCCACGGATTCATGCGGTCCAAAGTAAGGGCGTCGACTTTGATGTGGCCGGCTACTGGATCATAAAATCGTTCGAGCATACTAATCATCGTACTTTTTCCACAGCCAGATGCGCCGACGAATGCGACAAACTGACCTTTTTTTATCTGTACAAAGTATTAGCAACGAGTAATGACATGGGTCATGCCAAGCGACTTGGTAGACCAAAGAACACAAATAAAGATAGCTAGAAAGCACGGGTTGGGCTGGCATACATGAAGGTCAAGGCCACGTAGTACGCGAGCGTGGGGTCTCAACGGGTAAGAGAATTGCAAGTTTTCCAAGTGCAGCGACTTGAAGTCACCAGGGCCAATGTCGTGGTTTTCTTCGGTCTCTCGGATGGTCGGCTGAAGCTCTTCAAGCCAAAATATGTAATTGGCCGCATTGGTTGCCTTTGTCATGCCTGGATAGCTGTTAGCAATCTGCTTATACCTACCACACAGGCTTGGGATGCATCTTACTGCTTGAAAATCCAAAAAGAATTGACGCTTGCTGGCCAGAAAAGAACACACTTAGAAAACTGATATAAAAGTTGACCTCGCTCAAATTTCCGAATGAGACAAGCCGACATCCATACCTATGTCGAGATGATCCAACGGTTAGCATCAAGCCATAATAAAACAAAGAACGAGAACAAGCATGACAAACATACCAGAAACCAAGTGCCAGGAACGAGTATTCAACAGTCTGAGTGAATGCAAAAGGAAGCATGATGAAAAGCACTGGCTTCGTGGACGTCGCAATCGCCCGGTCAAGCTCCTGGGTGTATCGCTCCAAAACAGACGTTTCGATCACCAAAGAAGACACCGTACGGATTGCATTCACGGCCTCTGAGGCAATGGATGCACTCTTGGAAAACAACTTTGAAATCTTGTGATCCATTGCAGCTTCCATTCTGATGCGGGCGTAACCGGAAAGGAGCATGGGTGGAAGTCCTGCTAAGACAATGACAAGGCCAAGCTTCCATGCATATACAATTGATAGGATGGAGCATGACAGCACACCAGTCGTTGCAACCAGTATCAGAGCAATATTGAAGCCCATGAGCTCAAACACAGCCTGTGGATAAGAGTCGGCACGACTGGTCAGTCCCCCTGTGGTGTTCTCCGTGCGATCAAAGAATTGCAGGTCTTGCTTCATCATGTCGTTGACGACCTGCTTTCGGTATTTGTGGCTCATTGCCTTAATCGGTTAGTCAAGCCAATATATACTCATATTTCACCGAACCAGACTTACCTGTGCCACAATGTTTGATGTCCACCCTATAACAAAGTAGACGACGAAAGATCCAAGCCCGAGAACTAAAAACATGAGAGCGAAAAAATTCCCTTTTGTCCGCATAGCTGCACCTGTGAATTGAAATACGCCGATGAACTTAGACATCAAAATCGCTTGACCAGGAAATGAAGCAGCTACAATTTGGTCAGTTTCAGGCTGCGGGAAATTGGAGTTCAAAATGCCTCACCTCCTGCCAAACAAGCTAGAATTAGAACCGCGAAAGTCCAATTGAGCTCTGGGGTCGATTTTACCAATCGCCAGACTGTGTGGAGAAGCCCCAATCTTTCCCAATTGTCAAAATCATCCCGACTCAACTGCTTCTCCAAAGCTGATCTCGTCATAGTTGAGTACCGGGTCAATTCACTAGTCAATGCAACATGATCTTCTTTGTTCGTTTCATCCGAGCTACTTGGGATATCTTCAGGATCCTGCGTGCCCACAGACAAATCCTGAGCTTGCACCAGTCGTGCGTAGGCGCCATTCGATTCCAAAAGGTCGTTATGCGTACCTTGCTCGAGAATACGGCCATTTTCCATGACGACAATATTATCAGCATTTCTTATAGTGGCTAGTTTGTGTGCAATGGTGATTGTTGTGCGTCCCTTCGAAGCATTGTCTAGTGCCTGTTGAACAACTTCCTCGGCATGAGGATCAAGTGCACTTGTTGCCTCATCCAGAAGAAGAATTCGTGGCTGGGAAACAATGCTGCGAGCAATTGCAACGCGTTGCTTTTGACCACCAGATAACAGACCACCTCTCTCCCCAATGACGGTATCATACCCATTAGGAAGTTCAGTGATAAAATCATGGGCAAAAGCAATCTTAGCAGCGTCCTGTATCCGGGAAAGCTTCTCAATCGGGGGTTCACCCTCCCAAGGCGTACCCACAAGGCCATTGGCAATGTTTTCAGCGACTGAGCCGGCAAACAAAACAGGCTCCTGTTGAACAAGCCTCACCTGCTGACGTAGCCATTTGAGGTTGAACAGCTCGACGGGCTGACCATCAAGCTTGATTGTTCCTGACATAGGGTTATACCATCTTTCAATCATCCCAATGATGGTGCTCTTGCCAGACCCGCTTGCTCCGACGAGCGCAGTTGTCTTCCCCGCAGGGATGTGTAGTGAGAAATCATTCAACACCTTGACGTCGGGGCGCGTAGGGTAAGCGAACGAGACGTTACCGAAATCGAGATGACCCATCACGTCTGTCGGCTTTTCCCCTGACTCGTTGAATGGATCGATTCTCGACTTCCGGTCCATGAGCTGGAATAGCTCTGATGCGGCAGAGGCAGCACGAACAAAATCAATTATATAAGGCATTATAGTGGTCAAGCTTGTAGCAGCCACAACCACGGACATGAGCACACTGTGATTATCATTATTAGCATTGCTAGTTGTGAAAGGGTAAAGACTGAACAAACATGAAAACTTCTCCAGGTTCCTTGACCTCTCCGGTGGATATCATTTTTATACCCTGCCAAAAACACAAGCCAAACCCTGCAAATATTATGGTGTACTCTGTGGCAAATAGGCAGCCAAAAAGAGGAGATTTCTTATTTCCAAGCTTTCTCGAAGCCTGCAAGAACTTGTCAAACTCATGTAACAGTTGGCTTCGAAGTCCGAAAGCCTGTACTGTTCGAGAGCTGGACAAGATGCTCTCTGCGAAAGCTCCAGCCTGGGCCTGAACTTTGAGGACTTTTGTCTCAATCGAAGCTTCAATGGTGGAGCTGATTCCCATGGCTAGAAGCATTGCTGGGGCAATACAACAGCAAATGAGAGCCAGCTTCCATTGTGTGACGAATGCCAGAACGAAGGCCGAGATAAAAGCGGAGAGGCCCTGGACAACAAGTCCCAGCTTTTCTGATATTCCACCCTGAATAAGTCGTCCGTTTGAGGTAGCTTGCATCGCAATTGATCCACTTGTCCCGGCATCAAAGAAGGCAATTTCCTGGCTCAGTCCTGCTTTCAGGTACCGGCGGCGAATATTTCGTATGATCCGATATGCGGCAAATGTATATAGTGTGCTGTATCCATAAGTGAGGAAAAATCGGCAAAGGCCAATGACGAAGAAGTAGAGACTATCTTTATATCAGTTCTTTCTGTCCATCTGGATTGAGCTCCTTGCACATACCTGAGTCGTCCGGCTTCGCTTCGGAACTTCGAAGCATCCTTATCACCGAGAGAGTAGCCATTGATGAGTGTGATGAACTGGCCAAACACAAGATTGACAAGAGCCATGCCCACACCGGACCCCAGTGCACAGGCAGTGGCAATAGCTTGCATGGTATAGTCCTTGGACGAGCCATATTGAAAGATCCTCTGCCTAGTGTTAGACTATCAGTCTGCGATAGGAGGGTAGTTCCTACCAGATAACCACCAAATGCATCTATTTGTTCCTCATCCTCCTGGTCGTGAGTTTCCTCTTTCTCGGATTCTTTCTCCATTATAGATGTTTGTCCGACACTGCTTAGGCGGGCATAGAGTCTGTCGGCTTTGGTTTGATTTGGGGTTCTTCGATTGATACACTGTGTTGGGAAGAGAACAAGGATAATTATGAGCTACTAATCGAGATCTCTTGCTCTTTAAGCTTCCTATGATCCTCCTCGGCAGGTCTCAGCCAGGAGGCTATAAAATTATCCCGGGGTCCGCGGGCCCCGACACCATCCTGGGCTCCGCGGGCGCCGATACTATATAGCACAATGCTGAAGAAATTTTTGCATCTAATCTTTTTTTTTCTATAGAAAATAAGGGCACTAACACAAACTAGTCCCATAAATTAATAACAGCGATGAGTCATTAGCATCATTACTTACATACCTGCATGTAGGCATAGTATCATATCAAGTCCGGGCGGAGTCTAAACCCTTTTTGGAACATGTTTTGGACAACGCCAAGACTCTGCTCTTCCCGGACTTCCCTTCGACTTATTTTCTAGGATATGCTGGACAATGCCGGAACTGGCGCGGTCAATCCCTCGCTCATGGACCTCGACCTTGAAACTTCCTAAATCTTCATTCCCTCCACGCGTATCGCCTGTCGATCGGACAAAATACCTAAAACGATGCACCGATGATCTCTATGCCTGGCAACGCCGCGAAAGGCCCGCCGAGCAACCATTCGTCCTGCACGATGGCCCACCATATGCGAACGGCGATCTTCATGTCGGACATGCGCTCAACAAGATCTTGAAGGATATCATCTGTCGCGTACAATTGGGTCGCGGGAAGAGAGTGCGGTACGTGCCAGGCTGGGACTGCCATGGACTGCCGATCGAGCTCAAGGCGCTCCAAGGCCTGCGCGACGAGGACATTGCAAGTGGACCGGTCAGCGCGGCGGTGATCCGTATGGCTGCGCGGAAATTGGCAAGACAAACCGTGAAGGAGCAGATGAAAGGGTTCCGAGGCTTCGCGGTCATGGCTGACTGGGAGAACCATTGGAAGACCATGGACAAACAATTTGAGATGCGGCAATTGGGTATCTTCCGGGAAATGGTGGATCGGGGCCTCATCTATCGAAAGTTCAAACCAGTTTACTGGTCACCTTCAACGGGTACCGCTCTTGCGGAAGCAGAACTGGAATACAAGGATGATCATATCTCGACTGCCGCCCTGGTCAAATTTCCTCTTGTCGATATCCCCACGCACCTCTCCCGAAATCCTCTTCTCCGCGGAAAGGATGTAAGTGCTGTGATTTGGACCACTACCCCCTGGACGCTGCCTGCCAATGCTGCCATTGCAGTCAGCGAGTCTTTGGAATACACTATTGTCTTGTCGGAAAAACATGGTCATCTTCTTATCGCTCAATCGCGGTTCGAGTACCTCCAGGATATGCTAAAAGAAGAACTCTCGATCATTGTGCCGTCTATTTTGGGGTCCGAGCTGGCCGAGCAAACTACGTATCGACCTCTATTCAAAGGACCCGAAGCTCCACCACAGCCCATATTTGCTGCGGACTTTGTCACTGCTGATTCTGGATCTGGCATGGTTCACTGTGCGCCTGGTCACGGAATGGACGACTACGAAGCATGTCTTGCGCGTGGCATTCCTGTGTTCGCTCCCGTCAACGATGAGGGCAAATTCACAGATAAAGCCATGCCCCTCGATCCTACACGTTTATCCGGAAAGCCTGTCTTGGGAGAAGGTAACACCGCAGTATTGGAATGGGTCGAATCGTGTGATCAATTGCTTGCCCAGCATAAGTACGAGCACAAGTACCCTTACGACTGGCGCTCAAAGCTTCCGATCATTGTTCGGGCAACCGAACAGTGGTTTGCCGATGTTGCCGATATCCGCAGCAGTGCTCTTCGCGCGTTGGAAGACGTTCGTTTCGTTCCCGAGACTGGAAAGCAGCGACTTGAGAACTTTGTGAAAAACCGGAGTGAATGGTGTATCTCGCGCCAGCGCGCGTGGGGTGTTCCGATTCCTGCAATCTATCACCGGACCACTGGAGAGGCCGTCTTGACTAAAGATAGTGTTTCACATATCATGGCCACAATTGAAGAGCGGGGAATCGATGCTTGGTGGACCGACGGCGCGGATGATGCTGCATGGATTCCTCCGTCCTTGCGGGACGAGGCTGGAGCGGGGTATCGACGTGGAACAGACACTATGGACGTTTGGTTTGACAGTGGTACCAGCTGGGCAGAGATCGATGTTCCTATCGAAGGACGAAGTCATCCAGCCGATGTGTATCTTGAAGGTACCGATCAGCATCGTGGCTGGTTCCAGTCCGGGCTTCTCACGTATATCTCACATCAACTCGGCTCGAGTCAATCCACCACGCCTCGTGCGCCATTCAAGAACCTCATCACCCACGGTTTCACCCTGGATGAACATGGGCGGAAAATGAGCAAATCCATTGGCAACGTGATCCACCCGCAGACTATCATGGATGGGACTCTGCTGCCTCCTCTCAAACCCCGCAAAGGCAAAGGAAAGAAGCAACCCGAAAACGCGGAACCCGTGTACGACGCTCTTGGCCCTGATGCACTTCGCATGTGGGCGGCGAGCAGTGACTACACGCGCGACGTGGTGATAGGAAAACAGGTACTCCAGACCGTCAACACCAGTCTCCACAAGTTTCGTGTCACCTTCAAGTTACTGCTAGGTGCCCTTGCCGATTTCTGTCCAGAGAATTTTGTCTCATACGGGCAGCTGCAGCTAGTCGATCGCATTGCACTCAAGCACCTCTCAGACATGGTACTCACGTCTCAGAAGGCATGTGATAACTTCGAGTTCTACAAGGCTGTGAGCACGATGAACCGGTGGGCCAACCTCGAGTTTTCTGCTTTCTACATGGAGGCGATCAAGGACCGACTGTACACCCTTGGTGAGGACAGCACAAGTCGCCGAGCCGCGCAAACGACCTTATTCTACATCTACAACTATCTTCAAGAGGCGTTGGCTCCTATCACACCAGTGCTTGTGGAAGAAACTTGGGAACATACTCCCGAGTCTATCCGCGCTCAATCCGAGCACCCCCTGCAGCGTATTGTTTCCGCCCCGGCTCCGGAGTGGCAGGATTTAGCCTTGGACACCAGCTACCAGGAGCTGACGGTGGTCCACTCTGCCATCAAGAACTTGCAGGAGCAGGCCCGTAGTAAAAAACAGCTTGGCTCCTCCCTGCAATCCTTTGTCCACATTGTACTCCCCAGCAACTCTGGTTTATTCCAGCAGTATCTGTCAGAGCTCCCTGATCTCTTCGTTGTGTCTTCTATCACCCTGTCCCACGGTGAAGCTCTCCCGACCGACATCAGCAACGCTGAATGGCAATACGAAGAGACATTCGAGCTTGGTGGCCAGCCAGGTAAAGTGTATGTGTACGCGCCACAGGCTTCCAAGTGCCCACGGTGCTGGCGGTATGCCATTCCGGAGCCGGTGGCGATTGAAAATGCGATCTGCGACCGGTGTGAGACAGTGATACAGGCAAACGCCTAGATCATTGTACAAGTCTGTATACTTTTTTTTTGTATTATATCGAACATCTCTAGGTGATTGGACATAACCAATTCACCACCTGCTGTGCAACCAATGTAGAGCATTAATTAAATCCAAAAGAAAATAACTAAATCTATATTAAATCTATTAAATCTAACTTGAATGTGAGGTTCATGCAATGTTATAGACTATGACGACAGTATTTCTGTCAATGACGGTTGTTCCAATCATCCCCAAATCCTGCTTTAATGCAACGCCCTTATAGTTCCCTTTTCCCCGCCTCACTTCATCTTCTACTCATATTCTTCAAATTCAACATGATTCCTCAATTTGATCAGTTTTCTACTCCAACGGCGCCCCCCACTACCTCATCGGTGGCGCCTATTCCCACTGTAATTCCGGGGTCTGAGGTCTACCAGGAACTTCATGATGTGGGCAAGCGGACTCTATGGTATGTGAATTTTATATATTAAAATGCATAATTCTAACATTTATAGGGTTGTCACTGTGTTGATGGGCATCTCCTCGCTCGTGTTCTATACTTTGGCTGCTCGTGCTCCTCTGGTGAGTTTATCTCTCTATGATCTATACGTATCTAACATATATCCAGCCTAAACGAATCTTCCACATTCTAACCTCCCTAATAACCACCATCTCCTTCATAATCTACCTTGCCCTTTCCACAGGCCAAGGCATAACAACCAAACATGCCACAGTCAACGAACCCCACAAGCATGTCCCAGACACACACACAGACTACATCCGCCAGGTCCTGTGGCTGCGCTATGTAAACTGGGCACTAACGACACCCCTCCTGTTTATCAACTTCGCTCTTCTCTCCGGCCTACCAGGAGCAAACCTACTTATCGGCATTGTCGCCCACCTGATCATGCTGGCAACGGCCCTATTCGGCATATTCGCAGGCCACGGCGGCGAGCGCTGGGTCTGGCTGACCCTCTCATGCATTTCCTACCTGGTGGTGATCCACCATGTAGGCTTCCACGCGCAGCGAGCGGCCAAGGGCAAGGACGACCAGACGAGACGGTTCTTCGGGTCTGTTTCTGGGTCTGCGATTGCCATGCTAGCGCTGTTCCCTATGTGAGTTATATGTCCGGAGGATGCTTTGAGTCGGTTCAGAACGAATGCTAATGATGCATAGTTCTCTCGCGGCTGGTGCTCTTGCGCTTAAGTTGAGCGTTGATGCGGAGACCGTCCTCTTCGCTATACAGGATATCTTCACGCAAGGCGTCCTTGGATACTGGCTACTGTTGGCTCATGACAGCGCGCCTGGAATGTAAGTTTCAACTTGAACATCTGTATTGAACGCCGTGCTAACTGCTGTAGTGCCCTTTATATGGAAGGATTCTGGTCACATGGTGTCAGCAATGAGGGAGCTATCCGTATCGCTGATGAAGAGGGTGCGTAAGGGGATGGCGTTTCACTTACATCCAGATTGGAATCCATGTCATACGAAACCTGTTTTTGTTAGTTGACTTTCAGATTTCTGCGACTTGCGGGTCACTTTCACCTTTCTCTTAGTTTCATTCGAGGTTTGGTCTGCGGTAAGGTATGAGCACGATGATATTGATACTTGGTCCACTATTCTACTCTACATATATTCTATCTACCCAGTACTCTACGTGTAGGAACCCAGAATGACTTGAACAATTTTTTTTTTTTTTTTTTTTTTTTTTTACTCGTACACGACCGAATATGATATCTCTCTGGCGACACGCTCACCAGAGCCCCCTGGGGAAGGCTCCAGTGAGCGTGCCGCCGTCGACGGACACAGTCCGTTCACATCCCCGAGACCCCCAGGCCTCTCACGGCAGCAGTAAGCTCGGCCAGCGTCTCCTCACTGAGCTCCACGACAGAGCCAGCCTTGGAGGGCCCGTCCGCACCTCGGGCCACTCCGTACTCGTTCGAGTGACGAACTCGAACGTCTCGCTGGGCGCGAGACAGCCAGAAACCGCAGTCGATGCAGTCCTTCTTGAAGTGAACCTCTTCGAGGTTCTGGAACCACATTCCGAAGGGGTCTCCATCCACAGCGAAGCCAGTCAAGGTGAGATGCTTGACCGGGAGGTAAGGGGGGACGGGGAAACCAGAGCTCAGGGCAAGCACCTTTGACCTCTCAATGCAGAACTTGTCAAGGTACTCGCCGTACCCGATTCGGTCCCAGATCTCTCCGTTGCCGCTGTAGCCACTACAAATCAGTCAGGTTAGTCATATCTCACTTTGGTATCATATAGCTCTGGGTTGGTACAACTTACTAGTACACGGGCGGGGAATAGGACTTGACATTCATCACCCATCCATTCTTGATGACCTTCCATCCACTTGGGCCAAGTGGCTTGTTAATCTCCAAGCCAACTGCCATCTCCAACTCTAGGGTAGTCAGTTGAGGGTTCACCCACACAGTCTGCCAGATGATGGGCTGGTATGACTTCATCATACCAGTTAGCTTCAGTACACGCAGGTTGCGGAACTCGCCCAAAGGTCGTATCTGCTCCAGCGAGAGGATTGTGATGACGATCCCATCCTCTGGCTTCTCGGCAGAGTGGTCGGTTGCCTGGTCATCTGTGGCAGTCTCATAGAAGGCATCCATGGCCTTGTCAACCATGGTGGTGTTGTTGGTGGAAGATGTGGGGTCGGTATCAAAGCCTTCGATGTCGAAGTCGGTCATGGTGGCCTTGTCGACCATGGTACCTTTATCAGTAGTATGTTCATCGTCGAGATCAACAACATCCTCCATATCAACAAAGTTCTCGGGGTCGACAAAGTTCTCGGGGCCGACCTTGAGAGCGTCGAAAAACATGTTAAGTTCTAGGGCCGACTTGGTGCGAGGGATGTTATTCCAAGAGCCGCCCTTATTGAGGTAGGCCATCAAGCTGATACGAGAACTATAGGTTGGGCGAGGAGGAGTCTCCGTTTCGGGCTGAGTATCACTCTCTCGATCGAGCCACTTTTGAAAGCTAGCATTGCTAAGATAACCAGGAGCGACTGTGGCAAAAGGTTGAAAGCCCTCAGGGGGGTTCGGGGGTGCAATATCCAGGTTGGTAGCAGAAGGCCCTCTGTAGATGGAACGAAAGGCAGGACGGGGAGCTTTGGGGATGGGAGGAATAGGAGATTCAGGAGGCTCAGGAGGGAGGAAAGTAGAAGGAGACAGGATAGATGGACGAGCAGTCTTCTCAACTTGAATAATTCCTGAAGTCGACGCGAGCATGGACCCTCGGCGCTTGAGACTGAGGTTCTTAAAGGAAGGCAGTTTTGGAAGATGCAAGCTACCTTTGTTTGAACTCTTCTGACTCTTCGTAGGCGATGTTGTGGTATCAGTTCCTGCCGGGGAGGGATGAGCGATACTTCGGAGTCGGAGACTATTGAAAGAAACAAGCTGAGAGAGCTGGAAACGACTCTTCTTTGGACTCTGGTCTGTTTCATTCTTGGTTGGAATCTTCTCGGGGGAGCTCGTGACTGCACTCTGAACAGGGTCCTTAGGCAATTGACCAGTCGGTCTCGTGATTAGGGCTAAATGGTGCCCAATATTAGTACAAAGTAAATATCAACAGACATAGTATACATATGTCTAAGACATTCACAAAGTTCCAATGTGAAGAAGAGCATACCTTGTCTCTCACTATCAGCAGCTCGTTCAGCACATCTCGTCGCATCTTCCCAGAACTCCACGCCCATTAGGCTGGTAATCCATTGCTCCTGTATATCACGCTCGTACAAGTTGTTCATGATGAATAAGGATGATAATAATGAAATAATGAATAAAAGAGAAAATTATGAGATGAAAAAGGATGGGAAGAAAAGCAAGTCGGATGATTCAGAAAAGGTACTTCACACAAAAACCGCTCAAGCGCTGACTTGTCGCATAAACAAACCTATCTGGCAGGTACCATTTATGCAAATGTTGTCAAACGACCTCGAGGGCTCCCGTTCGACTTGCGCGCTCCCCATTATATTCGGAGGAAGGACACCTTCTCGATGTTATTAAGTTGGCTATTCAGCTATACTAGTCCGCTTCATTAAAGTCAGTAGATAGCCTCAATGTCTAGACCATATTGCCATAACCTGGATAGGTACCTAGGGCTCGGGGAGATTGCATAAACCACTGCTCTCCATTCTCACGGGGGCTGTTTTGTTTGGGCTGGTACATACATAGTAAAACCTCCTGCTCCGGTAGAAACTACTCGCATGGCAACGACCTGCTTAGGAGCTAGACCACACTGCTGTCCCTTACCAAACACAGACGGACTTGTCCATCGGGGCCAAGGCACTTGAAGCAGAAACTGCCTTCGGCATTATCAGAAGTCTACCAGAACATAACAGCCGGAGTGAGACTGGCCGTGGTGAACAGGTCATTAGAACCAGATGCGAGACTGTCCACCACATTGCCGAGCATCTTAAACATGGTTGGAAATCGCTAGAGGGACTTGATCATGATATCCTCATAAAGCTCTCGGATGGCAGGATCCACCACATCGCCTGGTCCGATGGTGAGTCTTGGTTATCTTCAACAAGACTTCCTCGTTCTTTGAGTTTGGTTTTGAATCTCTAGCTTGTTAGCATGGGCTGGATATGCAGGATGTGAAAACATACTGACATGTTCATAGTGATTTACTCAGATGACCTACCCTGTCATGACGTGGGATTCATTCCTCGATGAGCTGCGGCACTGTAATATGCGAAGGGGTGTAAAAGTAAATCAGCGAAAGCGGAGCCCTCCTATAGCATCCTTGGCTTGGCAACTAACAAGGTCCTAAATTGGAGGTGGGTCTAGGCCTTCCCCACAGTTTAACAATGAGCTCATCCTACTAACTTGGCTAATCTATTGTTACTTCTAATACTCAAGCTTTGTTACCACTTTGACTTAACGCAGAGGTGGCGTTGATATCGCGTAGATATGGCGTGCTCACCCTCAGTGGCAGAAAGCAGATATTATTGACAGTCAAAGATCCGAGGCTTTTTGTTTATGTTACAATACCGATCCAATATTGCTATCAGGACGCTTCGTAGCTGGTCGTCGGCTTTACATCAAAGTGTTTTGAGAATTGAAGATTGCGGCCAGATTCAATCTTCTAGGAATAATGTGGCACGGAGACATGCCAAATTATATTGCTGTGGGACGTGAGGCAAATTCGTACGTCACTAGGACCTATAGATGTCTTTTTTTGTCAGTGAAAACGCGCAACCCAGAAAACTATTATTGCATTGGTGTATAGCGTGTCAGCTGGCAAGATGACGAACACTAGAGGGCTTATTTTTTTTGTTCTGAGGTATCATACTTTCGTATTAATTTTTCCCTTGGTCCTAAGTTCCCATCCTATTCTCACTATTTTGGATCCCAGAAAGATCCGCTCTTACTCTTCATATAAAAAAGGATCTTGGTTGAATCAGTTGCAGCTATGCCCCCACTTACTAACTGGAATGATGAGATTCAGTTTGAAGTAGCCGATGAGCACTTTAAGACGCCGACACAAGTTTCGGACGTTGAAGCCATCGTCAGACAAGCTGATAAACAGGACCAACGAGTGACCGTTGTCGGTGCCATGCATTCGACCACCGAATGCACGGTGGGAACCGACATCGTTATCTCGATGGAGAACATGGCTTGCGTCCTCTCCGTGGATCAGGAGCAGCTGACTGTCACTGTGCAAGGGGGTGTCACTCTGCGCCAGCTGTGTGCTCACTTGAAAAAATTCGGCCTCCAGCCTCCTGTCGTCCTGGAATGGGGTAATTTCCAGATCGGTGCCATCAGTGGCACACACGCTAATGACACCTCAATGAGGCGCTCTGCGCAGTTCTCATCGTTTGTTCTCGGCGTTAAGCTGGTTACTCCAACTGGAAAGACCATGGAAATCTCGGGATCGCAGAATGCGGAATACCTGCCTGCCATTCGCTCCCATTTTGGCATGCTCGGCGTGGTCTGCGAGGTCACTGTGCGTGTCTTCAAGACCGCGCCGTTGCAAGTCAGTTTCCAGGTTGCGCAGATTGACACCTTCATGGAGAACTTTGCAGCGGAACTGCAGGCGCTAAAAGGAGCCAACGACCAGGTGTTCGGGATGCTATTTCCGACTACGGGTAAGCTTCTTTGGCAGTGCCGCAAGTTCTTGGATCCAGCGATACCGAGGCCGGATTCCCCAACGGCCTGGCTCGACCCGATTGAAAGCAAGAATATTAGTCTGTTCGGGGGACTATTTCTGCCTTTGGTCAAAGCCGTGACGGCGCCAGACCTCCCTGCTACCAAGGCCGGATTGATCAGCAATGCGATGGTCGACTTGCCGCTCAAGATCATCCGCCACAGTCGCTATATCATCGATCCGTGCGATCGTGGCGTTATGTACGCCGAAAACGAACCGAACTTCGAATTCTATGACTGGGTATTTCCTGAAGACAAATGGTGTGACATGGTTCGTGCGTTTCTGCAGCTGAGCGACCGTTTCCGGCAGCAGCACAACTTCATCTTACCGTTGCCCGCACTTGTCTACTTCATAAAGGAGGACCAGGCGTCCCTGCTGTCGCGATCCCGGAGTGGCAACATGATGGCGGTTGATCCTGAGTATCCTAACCCGAAGGATCCCAAGTGGAAGGAGTTTCGCCTTGCCTTTAATGAGGTTGCTGTGCAACACGGCGGTATTCCTCATATCAACAAGACGCGCGACGGGGCAATCAGCAATTTTGCCCACGTCCACGATCCCGAGAGCATCCGGCATTTTCTTCAGATACGCGAGCAGCTCGACCCAAAGGGTCTGTTCCTGAACGACTTCTTTACGACAATGTTCACCAATTTCCTCTGAAACGTGCAGGTCAACGGGCAAGGAAAGGGTAAGGATTTGTATGAAAGTAGGGCCTCTCAGATCGATTGTCAGCCGCCTGAGGACGATTGCTCAATAAGGCACAAACTTGCAGAGCCCTGCTGTCTTCTGTATCGATTGTTTTGTTTTTATTTGTATGAAGTATCATTTTACAATCATTAATTACGTAGTATCAAGCTTATCTGAATTGAAATTTAAAACTTCGTCCATCCCATTTCCGCCTTCATCGAATCAGAATAACCTCGGCAAGATTGAAGCACCCACAATTTATTACGACACAAAGATGTAAGCAAGCTTCTGAATTTAGTGACATATGTTCTGCATTGCTTGTAATAGATTGGATTGAAAGAGTTTGTAAGTCAACTTCTTGAAGAGAATTAATAGTATTAAATGAATCAAGCTCTAAGCTAAAGATGGAGATAGCATGATATAGTGTTGTACTGTATTCTTTAGCCCTAATTCGCCAAGAATGACACCTCAAAGCAGATATGCAGTTTGACGTCATTTACGCCATTTTTTCTGCAATATGCAATGCTGTATCATAAATCTGAATCTAACCTGGGCTTCAGTTACGATCTTTTGCAAAGGGGTTCTACGGCATATTTCATTAAGAGAGTGTAATGGTGAAATCTGTAAACGCCAAATGATTCAAAACTAACTTCAAGGCGATGTCTCGGCCTTAATATCTATCACTTCCAATTCCTCCATGGTAGGCTTTCTTGCCCACACACGATTCCTAGGATATATTAGCACGGAAGAAAGTCTGTGATTCAAAAGAAAACTTACGCAGGTTCATAAGCGTGAATATGCGGGTTGTTCAGCTCCGTGCGCACTTTAGCCAGAAATACCTGCACCTCCTCCTTTGTCCACGGCTCCGGCTCCCCAAAGTGAGTGAGAAGCCACATCGCCCAACCTTCTAGAGCGGCATTCCAATGGGCCAACTGGAGGTGCCCAGCCTCCTTCAGTGTGGGATCCCTAGCCCAAGGTCCTAGGGGAATTTTGTACGTTTCCTCATGCACGTCAACGAATCCGGCTTTCTCGATCGCGCTGCGCATCGTTTCATGGGTTCTGAGGGATCGGCCCGCTCGCTCAGAGCATCTAATAAACAGGTCACCCCACCCATATAGCTGGTGTTCTTTCTTCAGGGTACCGTCATCGCTGTAGACTCGCACATCTAATTCCATTTGTTCGATCCAACCACCAGGCTCTAGAGCACTAATATAAAATAGAAAGGAAACAATTAGGGCGTAATGTCTCAGAAAATCGATTCATCGGGATTAAAACTCACTCGTAGGCCTGCTTGTATAGCTTCTCCCATCCCTCGGGAGGGAATGCGCCATACATTAGGCGCATATGAATAAAGTCAAACGGCTCTCTCCATGTCCACTCTCGAAGCACATCATCCACCTCGAAGATGCAGTTCGGGGGCATCCATGATACGGGTGGAGGAAAGATATCCACTCCGCGGACGGTAGCTAATTGGTTTCAGACAAGGATAGAAGAAGTCAAAATCAAGAAATTCAGTACCTAGCGAATATCGATCGGCAACATCACTAATGATTTATTAGAGCTTTTCTTAGAAAGGATTGCTCGACTTGACTTACATTGCCCAACTCCCTTGGCCGGTTCCGATGTCTAAAATATTCTATACTGCATGGTTAGCGGAACGTTTAAGCGATGATCACCTGGGTGTAAATTCACCTTGGGTGAATTGCCGATAGGGGCGCGGAAAAGTGGATTGGACTGCTCGTTATCTAGCACGAGAAACACCATATGGCTGTGACTGTTAATATACCACCTGGTAGTGATGGGATGTGGCTTACCCGATCTCAAACGCCTCGAATTGTTGCTCGTCAGAAGGACCCCTAGATATGGTTACTTCATGCAAAACAAGCTCATTTTTTTTCGCAACTAACCAGTAGTCATCTTCTTTGATAGCCTGGTATCTACATATCGAGTTGGTCTTAGGAAGCGATCTTAGACTGGAAGTGGACTAACCTTCGGCCGTTTTCCAGTCGTCCCCTCGCGATTGATGAGGCGATAGAAGTGGTATCCCTATATAAGTGAGAATTCTCCCATAAATATGATTCGTAGTAGTACTCACGAGTGAAGGCCCTGCGGGTCCATGCCGTAGTCATTGATCATGGAGTAGAAATCAGGATCCTAGACGAGGTGAGAATGCCCCAACTGACTCAGATTAATCAACCCATCACTTACCACCGCGATTTTCATTTTTTCAGCCATGGTCTTGACACTTTTTCAAATGATGGAGGGTAAAATTGTCGAAGTGGGGAAAAGTTGCAAGACTCGACGTCCACTCGAACCGTTAAACTGGCAATCTAAGCCAAAGCCACCCGTCCACGGGTGGACAGTATAACCGAGTTGCCTAGGTAGGTTGGGTGCATACTTATCCACAAAAAAAAGTACTAGTGGAAACACTGGGGGGCTACAGGCTACATAAGTACTGGCGATCGGGATGTTTATGCTTATTAAGTATTAATGTGATCTGAAACACTCTGCGGGAGTCCTGTTAGTTAGATGCCCAACATCACCTCATAGACCAAAAGCACTATTCCGCCTAAAATGATCCCCAAAATGAATAAACGCAAACGGAATCAAACTCATTACCAAACTTGCAAACCCCAACAAACTAGCCGCTGAATGCGTTCCCAGTCACGCAAACATTTGCGACGTAGCAAGCGGCAACAACGCACCGGATACACTTCTCGTACAGCTCGCAGCGGCCAACGCACTCGCCGCATAAGTCCCATGTGCATCAGCAAGATAGTTGATTAGGGCCATGAATATAAGTAGGAAGCCAATGCCGAAGGGATGCCGGAGATCATGGGGACGATCCAGTGTATGGATGACTGGGCAGACCATACGAGCCAGAAGAGAGAGATGGTGTATAAGGGTCCGCCGATGCAGGCGAGAGGGAGATGGCGGTATTCTTCGATCTTCACGCAGGTTTTGTTCTGGGATTGGGCACGTTGGTAGACAGAGTCGTGTGCGAGGTAGACAATGAAGGAGAGGAGAGCGCTAATTCGAACTATGACATATTAGCTATAAATGCTTGGCCGATAGAGAACGTACTAGAAATAAACGCGAGACCGCATTGTCCGGTACTAAAGCCATATGTTCCTGTTCGTATTAATATCAAGATCAGTCCAGACAAAACGGCCTGCGTACCTTGGAATAGAATTGGATATCCCTTAAAAAAAAAGAGGTAAAAGATAGAATATGCCAAGGAACAAATCATTCGGATAGGGCGTGTCAACACTCGTGTGACGAGATCTCGTCGACCGGGGGTAGCTAGGCTCGCATTGGCAGATGTGATATTATGAATCCTATTGTATTTTCGCTGTAATACAGGACAAAAGGTATCTATCCAGTACATTGGCAACGACAGATGACTGCAATTTAATCACATACCTGGGAGAAATATCAGCGCAGGCCATGAAGTTCCCGCGATGATCAAGGCAATCCAAAACGCCCACCTCTAACTGGTATTAGAGACGTAACCAGAGACTAGGGGTCCCATCGTAGGGCCAAGCGTAGTAGCCTATTCAAGTAAGTATTTCAACTCCCGAGACGGTTAGATACCTCACAGCCATAAATTCAGCCATCGATCTTCCCCTTGTCTTAGGATCAGAAAAGATATCCGGATACAACCCTCCAACGACAGCAGTTGGCGAAGAAGCAAAGACACCAGAAAACAGCCTGAAGATAACAATAGTCGCAAAATTAGGCGCAACAGCACAAGCGAGACTGAAGATTGTATATCCTGAGAATGTCCATATCATCACCGGACGCCTGCCATATGTCTCTGACAATGGACCGAAGAGGATAAGCCCGAGAACATATCCGATCAAGTAGGTAGTTAGCGGCAGTACAAGCAGTTGCTGGTTGATTATGCCAAAGTCGGCCGCGATGAAATCGATGGCTCCGCTTGGAAGGGCGGATCCAAGTGTGACTATCACCAAGCCAATGATGAAGACAAACAGCTTTTTTTCTATCAAGCCGTTGTGTTAGTCTGTTTAGCTGTGAAGGAGGTAGTGCTTTACTATCGTCCAACTGTATGGATCGGGACTGGATTCTTCGATCATACTGGTGGAAGGGTCAAAGATGCCTTCCAGTTCTCCTTGAACCAATTTGGTACAAAGCATGATGCTTCATATCTATAACACATGGTGGTCCAGATACATTGGAAATACCAGCAACAGTACTAGCAAGACCGGTATCGGCAAACGAGTTGAGATGGTTCAATCAATGCTTGATACTCTGGGCACCGATCTAAGACCCGCCTATCTTTCCGTTTTAGGATTTGGTAAGTGACGGCCCACCACGGACATCCGGTCCCACCCCAGGATCCCAGTTAACCTGGCTCCGATGTCGGGAGGTATACTTCCTTGTGACATCTGAGATGGCCTTATAAACCCCCCTAGAACTCTAGTCCAGGTATGCTCTGTAAGCAAATAGACCGGACATGATGCAGCAAGAGCAGAAAGACATCTGGTCGGCCGACCTTTCGGCGAAAAGGTGGCCCCATTCGTTGCAACTTGGACTGAGAAGGTTCTCGCCTGGCTGGACCCTAAGCCAACTGGTAAGTCTTCAGGTGACAATCGCCAGACTTAACTAACAAGATAGATGAAATCCTTGATATCGGCGCCGGAGAAGGCCCCTTGACAGCCCGCATAGCTCCCCATGTCAAACGGAGCGTAGGAATCGATGGCTCACCCAACATGGTCGAACACTTCAAAAAAGCCTACCCACATATTGAGTCGCGGGTTGTCGATTATTGACTGCTGGTTCAAGAGTCCGACCTCACAACCAGGAGTTGCGACAAGATCTTTTCGAACGCTGCGTTGCATTGGATTTGAGGGACCCCGAAACTAGGTCCAATACAATCAAGGGCTGTTTTGAGGCTCTCAAGCTGGGTGGTCTTCTGGTCAATGGGTCAAGAGTCCGGTGCGCTGGGAAATGTGGCCGAAGTACATTCCGCAATTATCAGCGGTCTAGTCACTCAAGGCATTCCTGTTGAGCAGGCGCGAGAAGCTTCGCCTTGGTGGTTCACATCACAACAGGCTATGAGGGACCTTGTTGAAGGAGCGGGCTTTAGCTGGGTCAAGGGTGAGGTCCAGCTCACACAGGTAACATTGACAGAATGAGAAGGGGGCGTTGAAGGATGGTTAACGAAAGAATATCCCGGTTTGTGCCTTTTTCTTGAGGTGAAAGTTTCGTCCAATCTTCTTCTCCCTTTCGCCATGACAACCCCAGAAATTCCCCTAACGTAAAAGTGATGTAGAGGTGGGGGCTTGGTTAAGTCCCTGTTGGAATACACTCACGGTCAAGATTTGGTAAAGGACAGGAGACATTGAACTCCTGGATGAAATGACACAAGGAGCTAAGCAATTCACTCTATACTCTTAGTCTTGATGTCTTTAATGTTTTGCTAGATATATATTTTAGATCTAATAGGATCTTGACGACACTTGGTATTCATGGTGGGCTCGATGTGGAGCCAAATCTACTTGGATATATATATCGTCAACATAATATAGTTCTCATGTGTCCCAGTATGAATACATCGAACATGTGAGACTATTCATAGCGATTCATAGACTTGGGCTTTGAGGTGTCAATATAACCATTTCTTCAGGGATACGTATGATGATATCCTGTGAACTGATACCAGACATGACAGCCTAGACTCCAGACTAGTGTTTGTTCGCGAGTTGAGCTGCCTTCGGGACTTATCCATGCATAATTGTCATGGCGATCTTGGAGTGCTGCATGTTGAGATGCGAGCTTGAACCATACTGTCACATCCTACAACCGACATATATCGAGTTAAAAGCCTACTGCCTTACTGCATACAGCTACTGATCGAAAGCACAATCTGGCTGGCAAATGGCCCGTGGACTTCGCTATTTTGTGTCCCTCCCCATGATAAATACATCAAGAGCGGCGCAGAGATGTCTCTCGCACACACGAACCATCTTTTAATCACCAAGCACAGAGGGAGAAGTTTTTAAAAGAAACCCATTGGAATTGTCGAACAAAAATCATGCATCATCCATAACCTAGTACTTCTTGCCCTGGCGGAGGACATCACCGAACTCCTCCAGAGGGCTGCGGATGAGCTTAGTCTCGGCCCACAGGTTGGGGGTAAGGAAACCGTAGGTGTTGACGACAGCGACGAAGGTGGCCTTGAGGGTGTTCTCGAGGGTCTTGGTGGAGCCGGAAGAGGAGGTGTAAGCGTCCTGGACACCGGCGAGCTGGAGCAGACGCTTGACAGCGGGGGAAGCGACAAGGCCGGTACCGCGGGGGGCGGGAATGAGCTGCAATCAATTAGAAACAATCTTTTCAAATCACTGGCCCCCTACAAAAGGGACCAAGATCAGAAATGACCACATCGAAAACTTACACGGACGGAGACGGAACCACACTTTCCACTCTGCTTGACGGGCAGAGAGTGAGGCTCACCAAGGTTGGTACCCCAGTAACCGCGACGGACGGGGAGAACAGCGAGCTTGGCGATGGTGATAGCGGCACGGATAGCGGTGGCGACTTCCTTGGAGGTCTTGATTCCGAGACCGATGTGGCCCTCGGAGTCACCGATGAGGACGATAGCCTTGAAACGGGTACGCTGACCGGCACGGGTCTGCTTCTGGACGGGCTTGATCTGTAGGTTGAAATTGACGTTAGTTTCTGGTCTGTTTTCGATGTATTCGGTTTCCGCTCGAGCTTCCACTGCTCAATTGTGTTCAATTGTCGCATTCCAGTCGATTCCCGCTCAATCCTCCGATTTGAAAAAAAAAGTGTCGATCCGTACCTTCATAACCTCATCCTTGAGCTTGGGCAGGAAGAAGTCGACAATCTGGTACTCCTTGACGGGCAGAGAGTGGAGGTAGATCTGCTCCATGGAAGTGATCTTGCCGGCCTTGACGAGACGACCGAGCTTGGTGACGGGCTGCCACTCCTTCTCCTCCTGCTTGGGGCCACGACGGCCGCGACGGCCACCACGGCCACCACGGCCACGGTCACCACCACGCTCACCACCACGGTCGCCGCGCGAACCGAAACCACCACGTCCACGGGGAGCAGCGTCAGCCATATTTTATGTTGTTATGGGAAGCGACGGGGAGGGTTGTCGGTTTTGAGTTGGTCGTCGAGATTCACGGCGCTGAGCACTGTTTGCCCGAAATTTGCGCGGGTGGGCTAAGCGAGCGGGCAACCCTAGTGGAGACCCTATGCCCTAGATTCCTGATCGGGGAGGTGGCACGTGCACTTAAGGTTTCCAGGGCGGTGTCACCTGACGGGGCCCAGAAGTAGATCGATGGATCGTTGGTTTTTTAGCAGGACATAGATGCTGTGAAAGACGCAATGTATTTATTTTATGATAATGTTCAAGTCATTAGCTACAACTGTATTTAACAATATATTATGGGTTGAAATAAAAACAAGTCCTCGTAATGTTGTTATTCTTCCTTCTACGTCACCCCCAAAATCTGCTTCGGGCGGATGCACTTCCTATTTCAGCTATGCGACAGGTCAATCTCGACTCCGCAATTTCAAGATTGTTCCCCCAGTTGCCCCTTCCATAGTATTTCAGCGTCTCCCCTTTGCCTCTGTGTCCATTCTTTTCATTCCTCTCTGATTCCTCTATCTTGCATCTTTCATAGCTACTCAACCGCAGTTATGTTGCGCTGGTAAGTCTCCCTTGCCACTCACCTCCTTGAATCGAAGCTCAAAACATCTTCAACCAGGTACCAGTCCAAGTTGGCAAAGAGGCCCATCCTCACCGCAAGCATCACCAGCGCAGTACGATCATCTCATTCCCCCTTTTCTTGGACCAACTTCTTATCTTTTGTTACAACAGTTCCTATTCGGCAGTGGTGATGTTCTAGCACAGCAAGCTGTTGACCGGAAAGGTCTCCAGAAACACGACTTCGCCCGCACTGGACGAATGGCTCTTTACGGTGGAGGTATGTTTCCTAAGTCTCGTGTCTGTTGCATATCGCTGATCGATGGGTACTTTCCTTTCAGCTGTTTTCGGTCCAGTTGCCACTACCTGGTTCGGCATTCTCCAACGTCATGTCGTTCTTAAGGGCACCGCGTCCACCACCGCCGCTCGTGTTGCTGCCGACCAAATCTTCTTTGCTCCGGTCCAGCTCACCTGTTTCCTGTCCTCGATGGCAATCATGGAAGGCGTTGATCCTGTTGAAAGGTGGAATACTGCCTTTGTTCCCGCCTACAAGGCCAACCTGATGGTCTGGCCGTTTGTACAGGGTGTCAATTTTACATTCGTCCCGCTAGAATTGCGCCTGTTGTTTGTCAACGTTATCAGTTTGGGTGAGTACCTTGTTTTGAAGTGTTGATCATACTTCAGTGACTAATAACTAAACAGGCTGGAACTGCTTCCTTAGCTTGATGAACAGTGGTGAGGAGTTAGAATTACAAGCTGTGATTTGAGATACCCTTGAAGTTTTGCTTCTCAGCTATTCTGAGCATTTTTCACATTGGCGCTCCATTATATGGTAATTTTTAGTTGGGTTATTTGGTCCTCAGGCATCGGAAAGATTTTTATTCTGCATTATTTTAACCATGTAAGAATTATCGATAATACAAATCTGAATCTAAATATTCAAATTGAAGTGAATTAATAAATCAAATGGTCCAAGTAAAATAAGAGCAAGTGAAGATTGGGATATACAGGTGTGATTATGTTACGGAAGAACCCAAAGAGGCAAGGCAAGTTTTTGTGGCTCGAACTTCAAAACTTCCACTCTTTGCAGTCAATTGTCGCCCACCTCCACTCTCATCTCACACTGCCTGGAGCAGACTATTACTGCTAAATCGATCCAGGCTTGGATTCCTCTTACTTTCTTTGTGTGAAAAAAACCCTCTGATTTGCGCTTTCCCTGAAATTCTCGCCCCTCCGACTTTCCGACTTTCCGACTCGATCGTCTCCCCCCCTCCACATCATTCACTATGGCTACCGTCGCAGAAAATGGTACCCCGGTTGTTGCCGATGAGAACTCCGCTCCTGTCACCGAGACTCAGACTGGCGATGCCGTCACTGTTTTCCACAACCCCGATGACTTCAACGTGAAGCACCCTCTTATGCACGAATGGACTCTGTGGTTCACCAAGCCCCCCAGTGGCAAGGTACGAGATGCTAGTAGAATAGATCGACATCAGCATGCTTACCGATGGAAATTAGGGCGACAACTGGAACGACCTGCTCAAGGAGGTGGTTACCTTCAGCTCCGTTGAAGAATTCTGGGGCATTTATGTAAGTTCAATCCGAAGTTCCCCCCCCTCCCCAGGTGAACGATCTCACTAACCTCGATCGCTAATAGAACAACATCACGCCGACCTCTGAACTTGGCCTGAAGGCCGACTACCACCTTTTCAAGAAGGGTGTACGACCCGAGTGGGAGGACCCCCAAAACAAGCACGGTGGAAAGTGGTCATACCAGTTCAAGGACAAGCGCTCCGTCCCCATTGATGAACTCTGGCTGCACGCCCAGCTAGCCGCGATCGGCGAGACCCTCGAGAATGATGACGACAACGAAGTTATGGGAGTGGTTGTGAACGTGCGCAAGGGCTTCTACCGTGTCGGTCTATGGACACGCACAGTCGGCAAGAGCATCCAGGGCGATAAGAACACCCGCACACAGGCGCAGGGCAAGGAGATCCTCGAGGCAATTGGCCAGCGGTTCAAGGACGTGCTGCGACTCAACTTGGCGGATGTGGTGGAGTTCTCCGGCCACACCGACAGTGCACACAGCGGCAGTACGCGCGCGAAGGCCAAGTACACTGTTTAAAGAGGGTTGGTTGAGACGGTGATGTGCAGATGAGGATGAAAAACGAAAAGGGGACGGATACCGATGCGCGGATTTCACGATTACGGACGACACAAATCGAGGGGAATTGACTCGATGTGTGGTGCTGGGAAACTGGGAGTGATTCAAATAGGGACCGAGGTCCCCTCCCCCTTTTATGCCCGCCCCGTTGCATAGTTCTACAGGGACGATCTGATTGCTTGCGACTTGTATCTTACTCTACCAAACCCATTTTACGAGCCTGATGCCGTGGTTGAGATCGAGGTCGTGCCAGTATAATGGTAATTTCCTTGCATTATTCTTTACAAATATGACCTGTTCATGCATTTTGGTGTTGCTAGGTCGACTTTGACGAGGTCAAGCACCTGAGTAGAGTTTTTAATCTTTGGATGGCCATTTTACTGGGAGGTACATTGTATATCAGTAGGTGTCATTTCATCCCAAGGTCAGCAGGCTAAATGTTTAAGCTCTGTCTTATGGGTCTTTGTTTCTTGACTCGTCTGATCAACGTCGCGAGTTGGAAGGCTTGTAGGCTTCTAATATTTGGATAAGACCAGATAGCCTTGAATCATATGTATACAAGCTGTATAAGATAGAGGAGCAAAGGCTTGTAGGACCTTTCTGGTCTCTTTTTGTAGTTATTTAGATGATTCTGCTCCCAGGCAAGGTTTCTTTTCAACTTCAGATTCTATCACTCACTGGTATATTGAATATTGAGGGAGGTGGAAGTCCTCCTGCTCCCAATAAGGTTCTTCGGGGTGGGGGAATAGCAGAAGCACTCTACCCAGACCGCGTGGTCTTCGCTCTGCGGTCATTGTCACAGACACATTCATGGTATGTTGCAGGGATGATGGTTTGAGTAAGCGCACAGGAGATCAGGGCCTCGAGCACGTTCTGCGCATTTACATCGCATTTACATGATCCCTTGGAGGTATCAAATCCCCTTCGTAGGAAAGTGTACCACTAGAACATCAAATTAATCTTTTGATATTTCCTATCATGATCAAACCCGAAGACAGGTTCTACTCGGAGGGCCAGGGCTATTTTGGCCCCAGGGAAAGACCTACAACCGAAGCCCACTGCAATGTATGGGATTGGGATCAGCTGCGATTGATCAAAGTCAAAGGAACTGCCAAACTTTTCCTACCTGATAAAGATGTTAAGAACTCAATTCTCGCGCCTTTCGCCGATTACTTTTTGCCAGAAGTTCGTGCATAGTCACAGTCGACGACGACGGGCTTCTAACTAGAGTCTCGATAGATCCGGAAGAGGATGATACATTCTTTGTTAGATATGTTCCATTCTCACTCTGACCATCACTTACAGATTGCTCTATAATTCACTTATCGTGACTTTGAGACCTCGCTCAGCTTAGACTAGGTATCGATCTCTCATCGCGTGATGGTCAAAGGGTCGCATTTAAATTTAACCCTTTAGGCATGTCTTAAAGGATATAAATGGCCTGGAAGAAGATAACCCTGCTCAGCCAACTGGCACCATATCCTAATATAGTATCGTTTGACCGCATCGTTCTCGAAGACGCGGAGTTTTGAGTGATTAGATTCATAATAAAGTACATCCTAGGTGGAACGCTAGCAGCGGCTGATCCGAAACGGCCTTCTAGATTTAAATGGCTAAAACAGCTTACCTAGGTGGTGGATTTCCTTAACCTAGGATTAGGGATCATGCATTAAGATATTACACCTCGAAATTTACTTATTAACCCCGAAACAGATAAGATTCTTCCGTTTGATTTTAATTAGGCCGCTAATAGAAAGGAATACCTACTATATGGCCGAGACGATGTGTCTAGTGTTATTTTTACGCTATACGGGATCATGAAAAACGATACACATTTTACGAGCATTCCTTACTGGGAACGAAACGTGGATATGGTACAGGCTATCAAATGGCCTGATAACCGCGAACTAGACTCTGACGTGTTAAAGTCGGGTCTTCTAACTCCTCCAGACTATAGCATGTCCTTTGAGATGGGCTGGACGAAGGAAGGGGAAACTATTTGGCAAACGGGTGGACGTTCGAGAAAAATTGCACTAGAGAAGGGACAATATTGCTTTCAGTGGCAAAGACCACTAAGCAGACTGTTGAAGAAGGCTAAAATGTTACAAATACTGTAGCTGATGACTGTCGGTCAACTCAACTCTTATCAACCATTTGTCAGATAGCAGAAAGTTCAAAATGAACCACATTAAATAGTACTTGTGAAAATCCCATACTGTCCTAAAAAAAAGGTTGTCACCCATGATGCGATCCAACACTCTTTGAGGCGATGTCCGCAGACGGCTGTATACTTGTGACATTCAAGATAGGCAATTGGCTCTCCACGGGGGCTAATCAAACGCCTAGAAAATAGCTCGGCTCAACTTCTACATATTACTTGAATTTTCTATTCTGAAAGGGCTATAAATTTGCATCGAATAATATAGTATGGGGAAGTATATGATATTGGTGCGATGTGTCATTGTCACTCCTACGATGATATGGATACCATAAAAAGCATTTTCCTGTAGCTTTTGAACGTCAGAACCTGCAGCCACTAACACCGTGGAACCATGATGAGTTTTGTCAAGGTCTAGTTGATGGGTGTAAAGTGTATTTATACTATGGATATGTCATGAGGTCTTGGATATATATTTACTGCTCGGAAGTTTGAAACAAACCCGAGTTACTCGTTAAAATGCCCGACGGACAAAGGCCCCCCATTAACCTTTCAGTGCTAATGCGAAAATGCGAAATAAACATGCCGTTGAGGAAGGAAGTGAAATCTATGCTTCCAAAAAGAAGCACACGCACGACTTTTTAAGACGAGTCAGAATATGACACTACAGTATTAGACATGTCCTGGAAAGAAAGACGGCCTGCTTATCAGTTGTAGGAACTATACTCCGTAGGTATCTCTGTTTACAGGCTGTTAACCGGGGAGAAATATACACCTCCTATCCAAGAGGTTACTAGTCAAACGCTGTAGCCCTGGAGATACAAATCATCACAACTGTCTTATTCCTTTCCTAAACCCACTCTTTACATGATATTCTTGTAGTCAAAGGAACCAGAAGAGCGACAAAAAGAAGACGAAACCGGATGGACGATTGATGAGCGTGTAGAATCAACAAATTACCAGGTTACTACGCGGCCAGTGACTAGCCGGGGTATTTGCAAAGGGAGCCAATAGTGAAAATTGCAACTAAAATGGCTCCACGGTTGAGTTGGGAGTCTGGGAAATGACGATGAAAAGCTGGACTGCTTCTTGGGATGTGACCTCGTGGCTTAGTATCTCAAAACAAAGCCTCGACCAAAGAAGAGAGACAAAAGATATTCCCAAGTGCTTTATTTAGAGTATAGCCGATCACTGGGGACGGAGAGAGCAAGGGCGACCAATTATCTTGCAGAGGATTATCTTGTATAGGGCAGCCAATAGGACACAGTATATAGAGGTAAGCAAGCTGACCCTAAAGCCTCACAGTATTCTTTATTGATATCTTGTCTTGCACTTGGCTGGGAATATACTCAGTATCCCAAGATACGATCAACATATCCCTTCGAGGTTCATGGCCCTTCTCAATCCGAATACACCGATAGTATTCTGTTTCGGCTGACACGGATCCAATCCACGACAATAAGTCAATGAGTCACCCACGGAGATCCGCCGAGCTGCTCTGAGTGGCTGGTATCGCAATATCAAACCAGAGCTCTCGGGGGGGGGCGGAGGGGACATCTTGCGATGTCGGAACGGTCATATTGACTCCAGCACAGAGAGAGTAGTCCTGGCTCGTTCAATCGAACAGTCGCGATGGTATCACATGAGGCTTGAAGGATTGAGATAAAGAGAGCACCCTAGTTAATTGGGCTTGGCAAGTAAGCCCGCCCAAACCAATGAGGAGAGCCAACTCAAGATGATATATGTTGTACTCCGCTTGGGGGCTTACGCCATTGAGAAGTTTTGACAAGAAGCCCTCCTGTTGGTGGATCGGAGGTTCATCCTTGTTCCCAAGCGAGATCGGAGCTCAAAGGGCGTATGCCATGACTCTTGGTGTTTTCTTGGTGTTTTTCCGCGTGATTATATCTGTGGGCTGTCCCTGTCATTTTTGATCTTCCGTTTTCTTTTCTTTCTTCTTCTTTCCCTTTTTTTTTTTTTTCACTCACCAAACATTGATATAAGACTGTGTCTATTAATGATACTAATATGACCACTAACAGAAACCCTTCCCCCTTATCTTCTGTGGGCTTGGCAGGCACCGAGTACCAGATCCACCCTCGCTTCGACTCTCTACAACTTACGAGAGAATAATTACCCCGGACCTAAGAACAGACCAGATCAGACCAGACCAGACCAAGATTGGAAGGGAAATGATTTCTCTCAGGTCATCGATTCAGCAGACATTGAATGGCATTGGCTATTGCCATCTCCTTCCGGGGAAACCTAAACAAGGTGCCGGGTAAGCGGGTATAGCCTGAAGCTCTCGAAACATACGAAATTCACGAAACGAGGGGAAGGCCCCAACGTTACATCCAGAAAATCGATATCATATGGTGATGGGGTTATTGACTATTGACGGAATCACGACCCTCGACACGCGATTCGAAAATGTGCCCCAAGTCCTGTCATGCCAAAGGCATCCCCGAACCATACAATATAGATCCGAATATATTCCGGAGCATGGACTTGACTCCGGGATTGGGGAGGAAAAAAAAAGACGACATCTGCCCTCGTGGCAAATTCAACCGGAAACGTTCTCAACTTGGAAATTTTCAAGCTTCACCGGCAATATCCGACTGGAATTCTCGATATGATTCGACGAAAAAACAAAAAAGTGGGCTTCGGACTGGCCCTTCCAGTATCCCCAGAGAGATGCCAAAAAGGTGCCAGGAGACCTCATTCGCTCGGATGGATCCAATCTGAGTCAGTCCACTCAATCCTCGCCATTTCATTGCTTGACTTTCACTTCCGTGCCGTGTGGTTACATGCGTGGGTCAATTCATCTCGGCTTCGGCCATTCGCCGTTGGACGATAAACACGATCGCATCCACGGTCGAGCTGCGAACAGTGGCCAATATCCGACCTTTTCAGATGAGCCTTATTGCCATATTGGGGGCAACACCTTGAAATTTGTGATTTTTTTACCTTTCTATATATTTTTTGATTTTTTACTCGAGATAAGGAGTCCTCCGGTCCCACTCAGCCTCGGATGTTGGGTGAAAAATTGCATATATAGTATTATTCACACCTTTCTTTTTTTTCCCTCTTTCTCTACTTTGACTGCGATTTTTTTCTGGCCCTCTTGAAAGAGAAGGCATCATCTGGTCTCGTAGCCATGTCCTCCACAGACCGTGATGCTGAGACTCCTGCGGCGTATGTACACTTCATGCACAATTCATACAATTCATGAGTTGCAGCTAACCCTATCTTTAGTCCTCCGTCCTACGATACCGAGGATGTCACCCAAAGTGTCGTCCTGAACGAAAAGGCCATGGACGCCGATTTCGACAAGGAGAACCTAGTCACCGCTGATGGTGGCGAACCTACGCTCTCGGAGAAGACTTCCTTGCGCCATGTCGCCGAGAACTTGCCCCTCTCCGCCTGGTTGGTGGCTGTCGTCGAGCTCTGCGAGCGTTTCACATACTATGGCATGTCTGGTCTGTTCCAGAACTACATTCAGCGACCTCGCGATGGTAGCCAGGGACGTGGTGCCCTCGGTATGGATCACCAAGGTGCCACCGGTCTTACCACCTTCTTCCAGTTCTGGTGTTATGTTACCCCTATTATCGGTGCCATCATCGCCGATCAGTACCTCGGCAAGTATAAGACCATTGTGGTGTTCTGTATCATCTACATGGTTGGTCTGCTCATCCTGGTCTGTACCTCCATCCCCACTGCCCTGGAACACGGCTCGGGTATCGGTGGTTTCATTGTCGCCATCTTGATCATTGGTCTGGGTACCGGTGGTATCAAGAGTAACGTGGCTCCTTTGATTGCGGATCAGTACAAGCGGAAGAAGATGGCCGTTTCCACCACCAAGAAGGGCGAGCGTGTCATTATCGACCCCGCCCTGACCATCCAGCGTATTTACATGATCTTCTACGGATGTATCAACGTCGGCTCGCTGTCCCTGCTCGCCACTCCCTACATGGAACTATACATCGATTTCTGGCCCGCCTACCTTCTCTGTCTCTGCATGTTCATGGTCGGTACCCTGGTGATCGTCCTCGGCCGCAAGCACTACGTCGTTCGCCCACCCCAGGGCTCCATCATCACGGACGCGTTCCGTGCTATCTGGATGATGATCAAGAACCGCAACATGGATGCCCCCAAGCCCTCATGGCAGACCGAGCGCAATGGTGCGTCCGCTGTCACCTGGGACGACCACTTTATCGATGAGCTGAAGCGCGCCCTGGTCGCCTGCCGCGTGTTCGCCTTCTACCCGATCTACTGGGTCGTCTACGGACAATTCTCCAGCAACTTCGTCACCCAAGCCGGTCAGATGGAGGGCCACGGCATCCCCAACGATCTGATGCAGAACTTTGACCCCATCTCCATCATCGTGTTCATCCCCATCCTCGAAACCTGCGTCTACCCCGTGATGCGCCGCATGAAGATCCCCTTCCGCCCTATCACCCGTATCGCCCTTGGTTTCGTCGTCGGCTCGCTTGCCATGATGTACGCCGCTATCGTGCAACACTTGATCTACACCGCCGGACCCTGCTACGAGTCCCCTCTGTGCGAGGCCTCCATGATCGACGGAATTGCCCAGGGAAACAAGGTGCACATCGCCATCCAAACCCCGGCCTACGTCTTCATGGGTGTGTCTGAGATTTTCGCCTCCGTCTCCGGTCTCGAGTACGCCTACACCAAGGCGCCGCCCAGCATGAAGTCCTTTGTGCAGGCCATGTACCTTCTCACGAACGCATTCGGATCCGCTATCGCCGAAGCTCTCACTCCCGCCGCCTTTGATCCCGCCATCTTGTGGATGTTCACCGGCCTTGCCTGTGCATCCTGCCTGTGTGGAATCATCTTCTACGCCATCTTCCACCACCTGAACGCCCAGGAAGATGACATGAATGCTCTCGATGCCGATGACTACATGCCCGAGGCTCCGGTCGACGCGGAACGACACCAGTCCAAGTCCGAGTAAGCATCGCACCCGCGGTGTTTTTGTAATAATTTGTTTTTCTTTGTTCTTTTTTTTTTGTTGGCATTCGCATTGGCATTGCAAGTATCTCTCTACGCTGGGATCGTACTTTTTTTCATCTTCGCTTGCATCACCGGAGCACTTTTTTGTGTTTTAAAACTGCTGTGCAGATCATGAGACGTGGTATGATAGGACGCTCGGTTTAATTTAGTATATAACTCATAAATCAAAATGAAAATAATCAATCCACAACATGTAAAAGAAATAAACTCCACATCTTATCTTCAAATGTACTATGGATATGATCGACTGCTAACGGTAGTCTTAGACTCCAAAGGCCCCCATCGCCGACTCGGCTACCCCACGCCAGTGGCCCACTCGGTGTTGAGCCTGGCCGCGGGGACAGACCTCCACAATGGCTCGAATATGATTCACTGCAGTCTGCATGGACTCTTGAAGTGGGTTCAAGTTCATCTCATCAAGCATCTTCCCCGCTCCCTTTTCGCGACAGACGGACTCAAAGAGCTTTTCCATCCGGGTCTGCTCCTCTTTGCCCTCTAGGGTCCATTTCATATTCCATAAAAAGGCACGCGGTGGATTCCAACGAGGGGCGGGTACTACACTGCTGAACTCCCAGTCCAGAACGGCGGTGATCGGATAATCGGGCTGATCCGGGTCACACATGATATTTGCAAAATGGAGATCCCTATGTGCGAGGACATAGACGACCTGGTTCAGCTGTTCGGCATGTTCCTGAATAGCTGTGGCGAAAGCGTGAATTCTCGGAATCAGATCTCTATAAGATTCAAGTGACGGATGCTTTTCAATGGCGTAGATATAGCGCTCGAGACAGGCAACGGTAAAGGCCACAAAGCTATTGAACCCCTGAGAAGGAATAGGGTTCAACAACTCAAGGGACTCGGATCCCGCCCAGTACTTCTCTAGATCGGGCAATTCCCAGAAATTCTCATCGATTGGAGGGCCGTGGGTGATTTCGCCATTCGTGAGGGTCAACCCGCCGACATAGCTCTCCCAAGGGTGCGCATGAAGCTCGATCAGGTAGTCTGTCAATTGGTGGACCATTTTATTACGGACTTCTATCGACAGAGTATCGTAAATCTGATCGATACTCTTCCCGGGAGCCTTTTCAAGGAGAGTGAATTCATGCCGGATGATATTATTATCGGTGGAATCGTAGCGAATGATAGCGGGGATAGGGATGGTAGTGTTTTGACGGACCCATGTCATGATTCCGACTTCATTACGAGTTTTGATGGTAGGGAGTCGACAACCTGAGACACGTAAGACCAGAGTTACCGAGCCATCTGCATTGACTGGAAGCACAGAGCCATCCGATGTATGAATCGGGGTGTGTGCTGCAAAATGGACCAGGTAGATAGAATGAAATGCCGCTGTGACTTGAAGAGGTTCGATTGAGGTAGGAGCCGGGAGATCCAAGGACACGATCAGTTGACTGATAGTGTCGGCGCTCAGCGCTGGAGGAAGATGGCTGTCTGCCATTGTAGAGGACGTCACAGAGTCTCAATATAGGGATGATGGGACGATTGGTGAGAGAGTGTAAGACATGGCGCTAACCCTACTAGTAGCATGTGACCGTTATCTATGTACTAGTTAGTAGATGATGATCCCTGTGCCTGGAGTTCCAGACATGCAAATGTACGTTCCAAGTAGAACTAGCCGTTTATACTATACGGGCACAAGATCCTATAGAACGAATAGAATTGTGTTTGAACCTGAAATACAGTACGTCCCGAAACTGGTGCGACCAACACTCGACTACACTCGACTGATATTCTAGCCCCATGGCCAAGTTAATGATACATTGTAATCTACGAAACAATACAGGGCTCCGGAAAATTCCCAATCCAGATTAGTGTGACTTGGCAGTGGGCGCACCAGTTTTGGAGTAGCAACGCTTGAAGTTGAACTGAGTACATCGCCCAGAAACCATACCTTGAATTCCCCGAAGGCCAAGCTTCTGCTCCCATCCCCACATCCCCACCTTGGCTATGGGTTGTAGAAAAAGAGCAAATATGCACCGAGACGAACGAGGGTTGGGATTGAGATTGTCCTTCATCCATTCCGCTCATGGATTCCTGATTGACTTGATTAAGCATAGTTGAGGCGAATTTTGGGGTACATCTTAGAGACGGTTGACGGTTCGAGTCTTTAGCTGATTTGAAAGATTTTAAACCTACACAGCAGGTGGGAGGAACTGCGAGGGCAAATGAACTAAGATAGAAATCAAGATGCCTACATCGGCCTCGTATTAAGGCATCAAGATAAAATATCTGATCCCACGGTAAATAGATCCCATGGATGCCTATGAGGCTCATGCCTTGGACCGTGATTGGCTATGTCTCGTATACAATTCTCTGTAGGCTATTTCCAGAGCATTCTGGATTTGATTCTTATTGCCTATATTGTCTATATTGCCTATATTGTCTATATTGTCTATTGTATATTGTAAATGGTCCAATACATCATAATCATGACGTGCAGACTCACGTTGCCACGGCACGTCAAGTACTAGGTACATGTCATGAAGTGGATATCACCAGACAAAGCCAAGTACCCAGTACCTTGGAAAATATCCTTGCGGATCCTTGACCGAATGCCGATCTGTCTGAAATAGAACAGGGAGGGTGGTCAATCTCAACAGACTCCACAAAACCGCAGCATGTAGGAACAGTGCACTGTCCACTCTGTAGGAAATTGTTAAAAATAGGGGGAGACCCCTAAAAAAAAACACCATAATTTTTGACTCTGATGAAACATAATATATGAAACCTATGAAACCCGACCCTTGAATCCCATTTAATTCAATTCCCCAAACGCTTAACGTTCGCGACTAATCCCCGGACCTTATTGGCTTTGCTCTCCCTGACACCGCCAGCACTTCTGCCCTTACCCTCCACTTCTCCCGTCTCACCCTTCCCTCCTTCATCCCCTCCCCCCTTATCCATTTCAGAACTTGAGAATCTGCACATCATGAGTGTGAGTAAACCAATATGGCCTTGTTTATCTGAATTTGCTTTCTGACCCGACTTTCCCTAGTACCAGAGCTTAGGGGATAACACCTCCGGCGGCTACGGCCAGTACAACCCGTACGGAAGTCAGCAGCAGAGCAATCCCTATGGAGCCCAGGAACAACCACAGAGCTATGGATATGGTGCTGGTTACAACCAGGCGGGTGCCGCAGAACAGGGAAATGGTGGCTATGGTATGTTAACCCGATGATCTCACCTTGCGACGAGTCTAATTTCTCTCGACAGAGATGTCCAACATCAACCAAGCCTCATCTGGTGGCCCAACTGCGATTCTGAACAAGTGCAAGGAGATGAATGAGGGTATCGCTGAGCTGACCAAGAAGCGCGAGACCCAATTGGTCGCCGCCCAAAAGTCCCTTCTGGACTCGAGCACCGGCAAAGAAGATCAGGCTTCGCGCCAAACACTCGACTACATTGAGGATGAGATCAATACTGCGCTGCGCTACCTGCGCGATCAATTCAAGCGCATCAAGGAGACCCCGGGATCCGGCGACTCGCGCGTGCAGGGCCAGGTCGAGAACGTCAGCCGCAACCTGCGTCGTGAGATTGAGTCGTACCAGCGCACACAGAGCGACTTCCAGAAGCGTCTGGAGGAGCAAGTGCGCCGCCGATACGAGATTGCCAACCCCGAGGCGTCCCCCGAGGAGTTGGAGCAGGGTGTGCAGAATGTTCTGATGGGACAGGAGCAGAGCTTTGTTGTATGTCTTCCCCCCGAATCGAATCTTTTGCACCAGTCACTTTGCTAACGTTGGAGGATTAGGTTCCCGGTACACGCACTCGCCAGGCCAACGATGCCCGTCAGGCTACTCTGCAGCGTTCCGCCGCCATCCGCAAAATCGAACAAGATCTGATCGAACTTAGCCACTTGTACAACGAGGTCGCAGAGCTGGTGCACCAGCAGGAGCCTGCAGTCGAACAGATTCAACATGGAGCCGAGGAGACACACCGCAACGTCGAGCAGGCCAATACCAAGCTTGACACCGCTATTCAGAGCGCGAAGAACGCTCGGCGCTGGAAGTGGTATGCACTGATTATCATCCGTAAGTATTCGCCTGTCTGCCTACCAAAATCTGGCTCCGCTAACTTAGTCCCTAGTCATTATCATTGGTATTGTCGTCGGTGTGGCCGTCGGTGTCACCCAAGCCAATAAGAAATGATCTGTCTCTTGCACTCCCCTGTTTATTTCGTCTATGTATGACCTTTCCCGGGGACGCATCGCCCCCATTTGTCTTTATCCCCTCGTTATACCACCCCTTCGCATTTCCTTGTGTACAAGCAAAATGTCTTTCAGACCCTCTTTTCTTTTTGTGCCTTTGCTTCCTAGCTGTACCTGCGTGTTCGCATACAGCTACTCCGCGCCGAACACGCGATGGCTCTTGATGATTGGTCGCTGTTTCGGGGCTGTCGTGATGTCGCAGCGCATGGATGTATATACTAGATTGCTTTCTTCGGCCCCCCTCCCTGTTTGTCGCTAGAACCTATGTAATACTGTCTAATAATCAATTCCTTTGCGTATGAGTCTGATGTATACCATAGCGAAGTCCCGAGGTAGGTGGTTTGCGCAGTGTAATGTAAATTTAACTCAATCGTTTAGGGGTATCCGACTGAACAGACTCTTTCGGAATAACAAGCACCAGAACGCCCAATCAATCCACCATTTATGCCTTCTCCTTTCTCTCCTTCTCGCGCTGCTCCTCGGCCGGTGTCTTCGTCTTCAACTGCAATGCATGCAATCCGCCCTCACGAGCCATCTCTTCCTTGAACAATGCGTAGACCATACGGTGGCGAGCGGGCTGCATCTTCGACTCGAAGGAATCAGAGACAATTGTCACACTGCGAAAGATTAGACATTCACTCTTGGTGTTCGGATGTGGGGGAAACGAACTGGAAATGCGTCTCTTTCGACACTGACCCTTCCATTGCAGCGTGGTGCGCATGGAGGTGAGAGTCATTCCGGATCTCGAGTTTCGAAGGTGTGAATGCGTGGGCGATCTATACAAGAAAAGAGAGGAAATGTTAGCAATGCAGATGGACAACACGGGCGATGTGGCTCACCTTGTCGCGCATGACATCTTCCAACGGGGTATTAGAGGCCATCCTAGCAGAAACAGAGAAGAGACGACGAGGGATCAGTCCCGGAAGACTGCGAGGAAGCATTTAGAATAAACAGAAGCGATCAAAGGGAACGAGGAGGAGAAAGGAACGTCCGCAACTGAAGCCAATCGGATGTTTTTGTTTTCGGGGAACTTCACTCTCAATGACATCAACTCGTTTTTTTCGCTCGACACCTCAATTGCTCATCTAATTTTTTTTTTTTTTTTTTTTGGCTGTGAGATGAATTCCAAATATTAAAAATCTGAAATTGAAAATGTCTGGCAGTTTACTCTCCGTGCTTTCGCGTTCGAATGCGCGCGTCTGCTTCACTCGGCGAACACACCTCAGCGCAAGACTCTTGTCGACTCTGCCGAATACACATATATTCCGCGCACTCCAGAGCCATGACCCTGAAAGCCTCGCTGTAGTGCATAGCGCCTCTTCCCGGTCATTCACCTATGGTAGTCTAATTGCCGACATTGTTCGCGCTAAGGATGACCTGGAACAAACGGCCGCCAAAGTGCAGGGCCAATTGGCTGGCGAGCGGGTTGCCTTCCTCGCGGAGAACAGCTATGACTACGTAGGTACTGTTGTCTTGAATCCCACCGAAGAAGATATTTAGAATACTAATAGACACATAGTGACGCTGCTGGCGATCTTTGCTAGTGATGCCATTGCGCTCCCGCTCTCGCCGTCTTTCCCGACTGGCGAGCTGAAGTATATCTTGGATAATTCACAAGCTAGGATGCTGCTGACAACCGAGAATTATGCCGATAAAGGCATGGAACTCTTGCGAGAGGGGTTGGAGCGTGAACCTCTGTTTGCTATCCGCAATAAACTCACAGAGGGCGCACTGAGTGGCGAGAGTGTAACCCTGCACGATCTGAAGCAGCCTCCGTCCGGTGGGATGATGTTATATACATCTGGGACCACGAATCGACCCGTAGGCCCAGTCACTTCCCTGTAAGAAGCTATTACTAACTCAAAACAGAAAGGTGTTCTCATCCCGCAATCGGCACTGGCAGCGCAAGCATCTTCACTACTAGAAGCATGGAAATACACACCTGATGACCGGCTTCTTCACATGCTCCCACTACACCACATCCACGGGGTGGTAAACGCAATCCTGGCACCAATAGTAGCAGGTTCCTCAATCGAGTTCATGTACCCCTTCAACCCGGATAAAGTCTGGAAACGACTAGCAGCACCTTTCCTCCCATCCGATGCTTCAAAATCACCCATCACATTCCTCACTGCCGTCCCAACAATCTACAACCGCCTCATGGCCACCTTCCCTAAACTAACCCCAGAGCTCCAAAAAGCTGCAAAAGAAGGAATCTCCCCTCAAAACCTCCGCTTGACCATCTCCGGCTCCGCCGCTCTCCCAACCCCAACAAAAGCGGCCTGGACAAACCTCAGCAACGGCAATGTCCTTCTAGAACGCTTCGGCATGACCGAAGTCGGCATGGCGATTAGCTGCGGCCTCGACGCCGCAGACCGCATCGACGGCAGCGTCGGCTGGCCGCTCCCAGGCGTTGAAGCCCGACTCGCCGACCTCGAGACGGGTGATATCATTCCAATCGAAGAAAATAATGCCAATGGCCGTGAACGCGAAGGCGAGATTCAGATCCGCGGCGAAACAGTCTTCGACCATTACTGGGGGAACGAGAAAGCCACGCGCGAGAGTTTCGTGCAGAGCGACGATGGAGGCAGAGCGTGGTTCTGCACAGGTGATGTGGCTACCCGTCGGGTGGTTGATGGCGCTGGCAGTGGAGCGAGCGGCGATTGGGCTCAGGGACCGATGTATTTCATCCAGGGGCGGAAGAGTGTTGATATTATCAAGACCGGGGCTGAGAAGGTTAGCGCGCTGGAGGTTGAGAGGGAGTTACTTTCTCTGTATGTTGCTTTTTCCGGGATATTCACATCAAAGATCTATACTGACGATGCTGCTCTAGACCCCAAGTCATTGAAGCCGCGGTCGTTGGTCTCCCGTCTGAACAGTGGGGTCAGAAGATCGCTGCTGTGGTTGTCCTTTCTCCTGATGCGGCTGCTTCGGGTCGCAATGGTCAATCGTGGGGCCCGATGGATATGCGGCGCGCGCTGAAGGGTTCTCTTGCTTCCTTTAAGATTCCCCAGGAGATGAAGGTTTTGGAGGCCATTCCGAGGAATGCGATGGGGAAGGTCAATAAGAAGGCACTTGTGAAAGAGGTCTTTGGTATTTGAAGATCGAAACAACTACACTGTACAATATTGCAAATTTACTAAACCTGAAGGTTGAGTGGTGGAGTTATGTGGACTTATTACTTTCTCTACTCGACCAGAACATGTACAACACTGTCGAAGAACATTGAAGAATTAAACCATTTCTCATTTCTTGGCTGGAAAAATAAACCTAAATTGCTTGCTCTTCATTTCAAATTCGTGGCATCATATCAAGGGAAACCAAAGTCTAGTCCAGTGTCCACCTAGATCTGACGGTGCAGACCCTCATTCTCAGCACGGGTGACCTCCGAGTCGACACGGGGATCAAGCTTGTTGGCAATGCTTGAACCATGGGGAGCGGTGGTACCAGTGGTACCAGTAGTTCCAGTGGCAGGGGTATTATAACTGCTACCAGCAACAGCATTCTGACGACCAGCAGTATCAAGACCAGAGCCACCAAGCGCCGAGCTAGTGGGAATACCAGTAGCGCCACGAGTGTGGGTGCCGTGGGTAGTAGTACCAGCACCAGTACCAGCGATAGTAGACTGATGCTGAGCACTACTATCACGGTCCGAGTCAACGCGGGGGTCCAACTTGTTGGCGATGTTGGAACTGTGGGGTCCAGCATTTGTGCTGCTGCTGCCGGGCGTAGCAATGGGACCGCCGGTAGTGTACACAGGCTGTTCGCGGATAGTGTTGTGGGTAGCGCCAGTTCCAGAGCCCAGGGCTGAGCCGTGAGTGCCCGTAGCGGTGGTGTGATGAGTAGACCCAAGACCAGCACCGGCACCGGCACCAGCGCCAGAGAGACCACCATGATGAGCACGGTTATCGCGGTCAGAGTCGACGCGGGGATCGACCTTGTTGGCGATGTTGGAGCTATGGGGGCCGGCATTGGTGCTACCAGTGGTGCCGTGAGTAGATCCAAGACCAGCACCGGTGCCAGTCACGTCGGATGTGCCGTGGGTAGTACCAGAGCCCAGAGTAGAGCTGTGAGTACCGGCTGTACCATGAGTAGATCCAAGGCCGGCACCAGTGAGATCATCGTGGTGAGCACGGTTATCGCGGTCAGAGTCGACGCGGGGATCAATCTTGTTGGCAATGCTGGAACCGTGAGGACCTGTGTTAGTGCTGCTAGTGGTGCCGTGGGTGGTTCCAGAGCCCAGAGCAGAGCTGTGAGTGCCAGTTGTGCCATGGGTAGATCCAAGACCGGCACCAGTGCCGGTCACACCTGAGGTGCCATGTGTAGTGCCAGTACCGGCGAGACCCTCGTGGCGAGCACGGTTATCGCGGTCAGAGTCGACGCGGGGATCGACCTTGTTGGCGATGTTGGAGTTGTGGGGGCCGGCATTGGTGCTGCCAGTGGTGCCGTGAGTAGATCCAAGACCAGCACCGGTGCCAGTCACGCCGGATGTGCCGTGGGTAGTACCAGAGCCCAGAGTAGAGCTGTGAGTACCGGTTGTACCATGAGTAGATCCAAGACCGGCGCCTGTCGCATGGGTGTGGGCAGCACGGTTGTCTAAGTCAGTTAGTACTGAATGCTCTTTGAGGGATGTGAGATATGAAGTGAAATGACAAACCTTTATCACTGTCGACACGGGGGTCGAGCTTGTTAGCCAAGTTTGACTTGTGAGGTCCATGGTTGGAGGACTTGGTCGACTCGTGCGACTCGTCCTTTTTGCCAGTCAGGGCCTCTTCGGCCTTGCGTACAAACTGCATGTTGGTGATGGTATTGATGGTATTGATGAAAGTTGAAGTGGGTTGAGTTGAAGTTATGTAGATGTGGGAGATGGTTAGAGAAGATAGGAAGTGATTTCCCCCTGGGGAAAGAAGAGGGTATTTATGTCTTCTTTGTAAGAGTCAAACATTAGAATGACGTTCATGTTTTCAATGTGATGGTGTACAAATGCACCAGCTTGGCAACGTATAGCAAACGCCTCCAGGTGCCACGATCTGCTATTGGGTAGGATGGACATGAATGGAGTTACATGGTCAGCCACTTAAATCAGGGTATTGTCATAAAAGGGCCAAACAAGACATATTTTCTAGAAAACTGGCCGTCATCCCTGATTCAGACCGAATATCAAAATCCAAAACAATTGCGTCATGGGGACCTGCCAAGGAAATATGCCAACTATATGCACCTGGGGAATTGTACTGAACACATCCTAGTCCATTTCATAGCCAACCAGAACTGGAATGAAATCATGGGTAAGAATACAGAGCATGTTTCTTGTTCTCAAGTCTCAGCTTGGTTGTACAATATACGTTACCTTGTATTCCGGACTTGTGATAGGGCTTGGAAGTCGAAGACTAGTTGGTTTAGTTGTCTATTAGTGCAATTATAAACCAGCCAATGACCTAATAGACAGACACAAAACCATATATCTACTTACTTTCTCATAGAATAATCTCAGAACTGCTAGTCTGCCAGACTGCAAGGTCGAAGTTGTTGTCTACGTCATCGATATAGTTCACAGTCACATGACTGGGATCATATCCTATATTCATATGCTCTTCACATTTGATACCCCGGAAAAGATGAGAGCAATCCTTGACAATCGCTCAACATGAATAACGTGACTGATTCTCTTGCTTTGATACCAGGCCCTGCAAAGACCAAGTCCCGAACCCCGATTTGATCTGCTGAAATTCTTTGTGAGACCAAGAGGCTTAGGATTTGTTTATCCAGACTGGTGGTATAAAGCTGCTCTATTTTTGACCGATGAGCAGCGAAGTGCCAGGCCACTTGAATTGGGTCTCTACATAGCCTCCAATCGAGATCATCAGTGCTGGAAGCTCCAGTCATTGCAGCGCAACCTGTGAAAGTTATGATCTATGAGGCCTTGCTGGACGATATATTATCTCTGAGACCCAACGACTGCTTAAATACCTCTAGCCAACTCATTGATGGAGCCATTTCACAAAATCACCGGACAAATTTTCAGAGCTTCTTGCTGCAGAGTCTTTGAAGCACCATGTTCCGATGCCAAGGCCAAGGATCCCATTGACTCACATGTTCTTTATGCTGTTCGCTCGAACAACCAGTTCACCTCGATGACAATCTCAACTGGATTCCCATCTTGAGAAACTTGCTCCCCAGTCAAACTGTCACACCCTCCAATTCAGAAGTGCACTTGCAGTCATGAATAAGATCGTCTCCGCCTTGAAATTTCCCGGGTCAGCTATGAGCAACGGCGATGAATATAGCTGTCAAATACATCAATCTCAGTTAAAATGATCCAGATAATATGGTTTTTCATTCCTGATCACAACTGGTCAATCGATGAGGTTGAAAATGGCTCCACCAAAATTGCTGATGTCAGCAGCCGGCCGCTCCCGCAAGTCCACGATATGGCTGTCGATGAAGTTACATAGACAACTGAATCCGGTAATTCAGATCTGTGGGGTTGCAGTTCGAGGTTCTTTAGAATCTTTGCTGGTAGACCCGCATTTCCCCCCTTGCGACCCTGAAATTTTCACATTCATTCAAATCGAAAAGAGCATCCCTTGAAAACCGATAAAGCACGAGCGTTTCCCACAGTCTTTACCATCTAAGGATCTCCGGCCACAGGTCGTATAATAAGCCATGTGGATCATCTCGTTCTGGCTTTTCCCCGTGATATCCGGGTGCATGTGGATAGGTAAGGGTCGAAATACACGAGGGGTTGAAAGTACTTCACTAACTGCTCTATAGCTACCTTAGTAGCCATGATGTCAACCTGGGCAGCAGAAGGAAAACCAAGATATATCACCATGGATGATGGGCTCACCATTCCGTAAGTCTAACTGATGGACTCTTCGGCGACATAGACTGAGTCAATTGAACAATTAGTTACATTTCCCATATCGGAGCCGAAGGGCTCAAACCGCTGTTCATTGCCGGCAGTGCAGTAACAGTCGTGTTTATGGATCTCGGTCTCCTCTCTGAGCGTTGGCTCCGCCATGCCGGCCAACTTGCCCCAAACAAAGGGCGGTTCGACAAGACCTGTGCTGTTGGATCGATTCTTTTCTCCATTGCCGGGGCTGTAGGTCTCATTCTTCTGTCCATCTTCGACACGAAGAATCATCACAGCCTCCACAACGGGTTTCTGGGCATGTTCATGTATGACTCCCCTCCTTTCTTCCCAGATACACCCTCTAACTGGATTCTAGAGGGTGCTACGTGGTTTGCGCCCTCCTGGTGTGTCTGGAATACATCCAAATCGGCCGATTCTACCATCCACGAGCCCGTATCTTAATATTCAGCTTCGCCATCAAAGCTCTTTTCGTCATCTGCGAACTTGCTGTCGCGATTGCATTTGGCGTATGCATGAAAAAGGGAAATAAGCAGAATGCAGCAGCTATTTTGGAATGGGGTAAGATTCCAGCCCTGTCTGATTGCACAAAAGAAGCTAATTTGAGCAGTTGCCGCCTATATTTTCGCTTTATTTGTACTTTCTTTTATCATTGATCTGCTACCGTCCGTTCGCACTAAGAAACGAGTTCCTCAGGGTGAAAAGTATACTCGACCAGGTGTGGAGGATCGCCCAATTGACTTTTAGGTCTTTTAGATCGAGGGTATAGTCTGATCTGCAGGGTATTAAATAATTATAATAGATCTAGAACAGTTCTTGCCACGGACTTTGGCCACATGTGGTGATATCATCCATTCTGGGGGGAAAGGAAGAAACTCCTGAACGTCTTGGAAAAAAGAACTCTGAACAATTCAATAATTTCAAGATTGGAAGCAATTAATACATTAATACATCGATGTATGATGCTTCGCACACCCTTGTAGCACAATCTCAACTATCGCCCATGTCATCCAATGCATCAGTTCAATAGTCGTACTGGGGATCACAGCCTGGGCAGTCCGCGAACCCAAACCCCTCACTGTGATCTTCTCCTTAGTGATAGGACATCTCTCCAGATCTTATTATCTTCTTAAATGTTGTAGAGATTCTAGATTTTTCCAGGCGGCCCTCACCCTAGCCGTCTATGGCATAACACTAAGCACCAGCTGCATTACCAAACGCCATAGATGGCACGTTCTCCCTCTATTTCTGACCGACGCAATACTTTCTTACCTGTATGACAATGCGAACCGCCCCATTTATAGTTACAAATGCTGGTCTTCTTCTATTGAACAGAAAGTGCCTGCGAATGCTTCATAGTGATGCTCTCGAAGGTGTAAAATCCTTCAATTATATAACAATTGGCGATGTCTATTGGATATGCATATAATACAGTATTTTACAAGTAGTCACCCAAAATTAAGCCCATTCGCCCTTCCTCTCAAACGGCTTTATAAACTTGGTCGCCTCCATAGTCACCTGTAAAGATGACATATCAACGGCAGTGATATGGGCTTCGACCATGCAGAAGATATCCAGCTTATCTTTATCTGGGAAATCATCGGGAATGGTAACCGAGCAGTTCACGCCAAGATTAGTGATGACGCCGGCATACTCATCGTCCATATGTTTAGGCCTGATGCGCGGGGTGCGTAGCAGACATGGGAATGTGATGGGGAGAGTGCACTCGGAGAAGTAGAATGCGCGGAAGAGCAGCATACAAGCCCAATGCTGTGTGGAGTATTTGTCGAGATTTCTGAGACGTCTGCGCAGGGGTTGGGAGTAGATGAGGTGTGCGTCGATTTCAGACTTGGAGAAGGGGAGGAGAGAGGTGGGAGCGGTGTTTGTGTTATTTGGGGTAATTTCAGTGGCAGTCTCTGCCAGTTCTGTCTCCACTAGGTCGATCTCTGCAGGATCGGGGCTATCAACAAGAGCGTCAAACTGACGGCTGTGTTCATGCTCGAAACGCAATGCTGCCTCAATCTGGTAATGCGCAATAACATCCGTGTATCGGCGCAGTGGACTGGTACTCTTGACGTAAGTATCCAAGCCCAGGGTGTGGTGCTTAGTTGGGATTGTGGAAGAGTAGGCCAGCGGCACGCTGAGCTCATAGAAACCCTCACCGCCAAAATTGGCCAGGTTCTTGTTGGTGACGCGTCCGTATTCCGGGTCGTACCATGTGCCGTCGTAGATAACGGGGATGTTGCGTGCGGCACAGAATTGGCCGGAGATATGCCCAGCCAGATTCATAATCAGGGAGACCAAATTATCCCGGGATTGGTCGCGAACGTCGTATGGATCATATGTATGCATATTGAGCCGAATGACTGGATCACCGAGATAGTGACGTCCGGTTGTGGCTTCTAAATCGTATGGCGGCATCGGGGCGTTGCCTGACTGGACTGAGACAGAAACATCTGGGCTAAGAGGAGTGAGGTCCATGGCGCCATTGTTTCTGCGAGTTTGGCGGAATGCGAGCATGAGTTGACGCAAGATGTGGAATCTATCTTTGTCCTCGGGCCGAAGGCCTTGTTGGATTGTTTTACCATGTGGTATGGGTGGCTCGGTGAATACGCCACCTATGGTGAGTGACTCCAACTGTTCTTCGGAATCGGGGTCGAAGAAGTCGCGGAGTGTTCTGTGAGTCAGATTGATGACATTGTGGATTGTCCCGTTTTGGATCTTACTATCCAAGATCTCTCCTCGACGATTCATCTTCGCACTGAATGTGAGTACCGGCCGACCAGCCGCTAAACTGAAGTGAGGTTCAGTGAGAGATTTTGGAAGCATGGGATATGTGCGTTCCGGGATGTAGCTGGTGAAGAGTCGTGAGGCTGCATACTGGATGATCGGGTTGTCATGCCCAATAAAGGCTGTGGGGTTGGCAACGTGGACATGCACCCAGAATGTATCATGAGATCCTGGGATGGGCTCCAGCGATATACCGTCATCAATTTCTTGCGCCGTCACATCATCCACACAGTAAACTGGCATATCTCCCCAATCCTTTCTCAGGTGTTGCATAGAATCTTGCAACTGATCGGCAGTGAGTTTGCTGCAATACTCCTCAATCTCTTCCAACTCCATGTCCTTTGCGAGGGATACGCCATGCCCAGGAAGCATCAGATACTGGTCAAGGGGTAGAAGATTCTCCCAAGGGGCTATGATGCCGATTTCCTGCAACAAAAGACGGGTTGAAGCCTCACTCAGACCAAGAGTATTGTACATCCCTGTGGCACGCATGATATGTGTTGCTGTCGATCGCAAAGTGCCCGATGGCATGACAATAGCAGGGACCGAGTACAGCTTCAGGTATTCAATGATTACTGAGTCATCTGCGCTGAACTTTTCGGTGGGAAGTTCGCGGTACACCAATGGGTTTCCATCCTGACCAGGCGAATATCTGTTGGAGGATGGTCCCACGCTGGACATGATAGTCGGAGAGCGGAGCCTTCTGCTAAGGCGAATCAGCCGCTGTGCTTTGGCGATAAATCGGTTCATGGGGTGATCCTTGGACGCCTGGGTATCTTTGCGCATTGCGGCACGAACACAATGCTCTTGGTGTTCATGAGTCCAGTCGACAACCTGTTTGACAACCTTGGCGATCCGTTTTGGTTGCACGATATACATCCGGCTGAACAAGGAGCTGCCATCTTTTTCGATGAGGAAAGGATGCCGGCGAACAGCCTGATGAACAGCAAACATGTTGACGCTAGTCAGCTCCGACTCCTCGATGCCAAGAGCAGTCATTGTCAACTTTTCAAGGCTCAGGCAGAGAACTTCGGTGTCATCTGCCACCTGATCATGAAGATTGTCCAATATCTGAGAGTTTTCTCTATAGAATTTCAAGATATGAGTCTTGAAGTTGCCCATCATCCTCAGAAGAGGAGCACCCAGTGGCCTCGGAAGACCTCCCTCGGGGGTCACCTGAATATCTTGGCTTACGATAGCCTCATTATCCGGGAACCAGGGTGTGAGAGGCTCGACAAGTTCAGTAGGTGCAAATCCTTTGATAACATAGTCGAGCTCTGCGTTGGAGCAGATGCGCCAGTTCCCGTTGCTATTGTAGAACTGTTTCTGTTTGTGAACAGAGCGCACGTAGATTCCGTAATTGAACACTCCGTCTGAATTCAATCGGGCGATTAAGTCACCCTGCTCGAGGTGTTCACCTTCAAATTCCTCTTTATCCCCAGCGTCCTGGTTCAGCTTGTTCGGGTCGCCCCAGGAATCGATTGCGTCGCGGCCGTTAGGCATTGTGCCAACTGATTTACCTGGTAATTCCAATGGCCGATGCTTGGAGTCAGATCGGCGCACGGGGTCCAGATCATTGGGGTTGGTATCCAGCCATTTCCTTAGGTATTCTCGAATGTCTCCGTGCAACTCGAGTTGGGACCTAAGGATAATATTGCTATCGATGGGAACTCTTGGGGGTTCGTCTAGTTGGGATGTTTCCTGCTGAGATGGAACAGAGGTTAGCTGGGAATAGCAGGCTCTTCCTCAATATAAGATACCTCTCTGCCCGCTTGAGCGGCTTCAGCTGACTTCAATGTCCTCGTCGTAGACAAAAAGCGTCGCCCCCCAGACAACACCGGAAGGTGAGTGGCGGACGCGGTCGACATACATCCTGTCGGGTTCTGTCTCCATTTGCAGAGCACAGGTGAGCAATTTGCACCAGTCAGCTTCTGCAAAGCGCTTATTCTTATAAGTGCCATTGCCAAAGCTTGCGCAGGAAGAATGCGCCAGTGGCTCGAAAACTAAGTGTATTCTGCCTGCACTTGGTATACCGCCCTTGGCGGTATAAGATTTGCCCCGTGATTTCGGTGGTTGTTTCGACCAATCACAGTACAGTACAGATGTATAGAATCATTATATCAAGAGAACTCCAATTCTTTCATGAGCACTATATGGATAGTCTCATATCCTCATGTTTAATCGGAATATAGTATGTAGCTTTTTCCCTCATTGTAATAACAACCATCATCTGGGAGTCGTAAAGAACAAATGTTTCATTTAAACAGGAATTCTTCATCCACCGATCCAGCCAACCAGATTTGTAGATATTTGAAAGCGTCCAGATCATTTTTCAAGCTCTTCACGCGAGTTGGCCGCTATAAATTCCCAAAGCCGCATCGCTTTATATGCAGCCTATCAGGCCATCAAGCAGTTGGGCCACTTTGCGGAGAAAACTACTTATGCGGCAGACAAAAGTGGTCTATCTGTGTTTGCACGGTTTAACTACGAGATCCTCAAATGGCCACGGGGGCCCTCAAAGCGTCATCATGGCCGGCGCGTGTGTGCAGGCACTCAATACGGCTTGCTTGCCTTTAGTCGTCGGTATTCTCTTGCCCGGTGATTGCATGGAAACACTAGCCGGATTTTCCGAGTCAGTGATCAACGAACAGGTTTTAGAGACTTGGCTAGTGCAAGCCATTAGACGACCCGTGGATCGTGCAGAGAAATACAGAACTCTCTTAGTTAGACTAAATATACTAGTTAGTTAGTGGGTATTTCTAAGCGAGTTGGATCTCTCGGTTATGTAGCGCATGGATGCGCTAGCGATGGACGATGTACAGTCTTTTGATTGCTGCAATCAGACCCACAGCAAGCTGAGGAAAATCCCTGGCGTTGTGATGTGGATCAGCCAACCTGCTATGTGATTACATTGTATGGAGTATTATGTACCTCCTTCATGAGGGATGTGTCTTTAACAATGCGTTTCTATAAAAAGCGTGCATAATTATGGTCTCAGTCTGCATACAGAGTGATGTGTACGTTCGTCTTCGCGTAACAGCATAAGATCCAGCATTCTTAATCTACGGAGTCCACGAGAGATCAACGGTCTCATTTCTCCGATATTGCATGTTATACTCCGTGTGTTGTGGAAACAACATCATCGTCCTCCACAGACTGCCAAGTATAAATAGTTCCCGAGATCCTGGCTTTGAACTATTGAAATCCTGGTGAACTCGGGCACTGCATCGGCACTTTTCAAGAGAAGGGTATACAGAGACATCGGCAATTTGACTCGTGTTGACTCATGCTCTTGATGCAGCCTATCGGACTGGGTACTGCAGGATATATACAAGGTAATTCCATAGGTATTGCGCTATACCTCCGTTCCCTGTTCTCTTGCTCCGAAAGTACCAATGCCCAACCTCAACTCCGTACAGAGTACAACCTTGTAAACCACTCTCAATATGACTTGTCGATCCAAATTCCTCGCGAGCTCCCATTATCTTTTTTTTTCAATGTAAATATCGACGAAGATCGTCAAAAATTAGCGGGGGAAAACCTGTTTGCTATCGTTTAGTCCATGTCTCATTATTGGAATGGGCTCATCTCGACCCCCGACTCGGAGCGAACTGCATACTTCAAATAGAATTACATATCGATAGAGACGTGTCGATCATGCGCAAGTCCACCAAAAAACTTGACAGGTCGCAAGTGTTATTTCCTAATTTGTGTAAGCGAGAGTCGGCATTCCATGATCATGTCAGGGGTAATCTCCCTTCCACGTTGGACGTGGAATGGAAAGGTTAAGGACCTGAAAACACCCTTCAGTGCATAATGCATTAACCATTTATAGATTAGCGTTGATGCCAAGATGGATGAATCCTTTCCTCCTTCCTGACTTGGAATTGGGTAAAGCCATGAAAGTTGCACATTTGTCTCACTCGATCCGCTTATTTTTTCGAGTGTGAAAGCCAGTTTTTTCCACTACTGCGGCTGACTCAGTCAGTGCCACTAACTTCTAACTAGTGAAGCCCAGTCCAGGAATACCGATTTGACTCTAGTGGCACGCCAAGGCTTTAATACATACGAACATGTTCGGTGATCTATCGATCATTGGGGTCGAGGCTAGTACAAGGTTCTAGCCGATTAACAAGGAAATTTCCCGGTTGGGACCTGCTTCTCGATGGGCCCCTGTCTAGCATGGAAATCAGGATGCTAAATATATGCTACAGTAAGCGTCGACATCGGCACAAGATATGCATTCGGACATGTGAAGTTCGATCCGCAAACATAGTTGACTCGGGAATTATCCATATACAACATAGGTATGCACGGGGTTTGCGCCTTCCGCCGCCATGTGTCGCCTTTCGCGCCATCTGCAGGTCCCCAACTGCGGCCAAATCCACCCACCAAGCACAGCGGCGAACTCATCACATATTTATATTCAATCTGTGGCCTCTTTCGGGATACGAAGAATGACTTGTCCAATCGGAAATCGCGTGGCCCGACCTAGGGCTGCAGGCCTGGATGGAGTGGAGTCTTCGAACAGTGCTGCAGATTCTTCTCTTGGCTCTTTTTAGTTTCCGTCTCTATCGGGTCCACCAATAAAGAGGGGTGCGATCAGTGGCTTAAGATTATCCTCCGATTATGGAGTCTCCCAAGCCGAAGTTGTCGAAGAGTTATATAAACTAAATCCATGAGCCCGCACCATAGAACTGGTCTTGAATATCTGCCAGGGTACACATTCTGATACTAGATCCTCCTTTTCCAGTCTCTCTTTCGGATCATATTCTTTCCCCCCTTTATTTTTGCAATACCATATTTAATATATTGTCTACTTTCTTTTGACGGCATGCTCTTAAGCAACGGATGGCGCGCTCTGGCGCTATCCCTGACTCTTGTCCCTGGGGCAGTGGCAGATATCTGCAAGACCCTTAAGGACGGTGGCATTGATATCGAATACCGTATTTCATTGGCCTACACGGCTGATCAAATGGAATATTGGTCCACTGGATGCGGTGATCTCAAGCCAACATGCATTGCAGTTCCGTCTAGTGCAGCGGAGATGGCGCAGGTTATTAAGAACCTACACAACGTGGATACTCTCTTGTTTGTTCTCTCCTTACATAAACAGCAATGATGTCGACTCACCATAAATAGTGCTATCAAGAGCGGAGGACATAACCCTAACAACGGATTTGCGAGTATCCAGGACGGATTGCTGGTTTCGACTAAGAATCTGGATCAGGTTGACTATAACCCTAAGGATCATACTGCTGTCATCGGCCCTGGCCTTTCATGGGAAGAGGTCCAGAAAGGCCTGGCCGGAACTGGTCGGACTATTGTTGGAGGTCGAATTGGAGGAGTTGGAGTCGGTGGATATATGCTCGGAGGTATGTGGGTTAGTCATCTTTAAGTCTATCTCTAATGATTTATAGCTGGTATGAGTTTCCTAAGCACCCAGTACGGTTGGGCTGCGAACAGTATCTTGGACTACGAAATTGTGCTTGCCAATGGCACCATTATCCACGCAACCGAAAAGCAAAATCAAGGTGAGTGATACTATACTAACATTACCATCGACGAGACACTGACACTCGGCAGATCTGTTCCATAGCTTAAAAGGAGGCGGCAATAATTTTGGAGTTGTTACTGCATACACCGTGCAGACGCATCCTCAAGACCACAAAGTCTGGGGTGGCACCTATGCTTTTAAATCTGACAAAGCCCCCGAGATTATCGAAGCAGTGCGTAACTTCACCGACTATTACCCCGACGACAAGGCGGCAATCATCGCGACATTCGAGCGCGGTCTCTTGCTTGACTTCTGTCTTTTATTTGTCTTCTACGACGGCCCCGAGCCCCCCGCTGGAGTCTTTGACGAGTTCACTGCTATCAAGCACACCTCAAACGTCAAGACCTGGGATACCTACTACGACCTACTTAGGCATAACGACTTCTTTATTCTTAAGTAAGATAAGCATCTCTCGATTCTTGAATTACTTACTAACTAGCTACTAGGGGACAACGCTATAACATCGCCACCGAGACCACGCCCCTTCCTAACAGTACCGTGGGAGCAGCCCCGCTACAGGACTACTATGATCATTTCCGCGATGTGACTAAGTCCGTACTAGGAGTGACCGGCTCGCTCGGCACAATTTCCTTCCAGCCCATGCCCAGATCATTCTCTCAGAAAGCCAAGGACCGCGGTGGAGTAAGAATTTCATCCTAAATAGAGAAAATAAAGGGAGACCATATTACTAACAAGCCCTTAGGACCTCCTCGATATTCCCTCCGATCAACCATACATTATCTTTGAACTCGACTTCTCCTACGGCCTATCCATTGATGACAACAAGATGGATGCAGCCACCGTTAAACTCTACCAGGGAATCGATAATTTAGCCCAGAAGCACATCGACGAGGGTCTTGTTCCTGACGTGTATCGACCTTTGTTTATGAATGACGCATACCACCGCCAAGATTACTGGGGACGTATCAGCCCCGAGTCCAAGGCGCTTGCTCTGAAGACGAGGAAGGCGTATGATCCCGAAGGGTTCTTCCAGCGCCGGACCAGTGGAGGCTGGAGGCTGAAGGACTAGAGAACAAGACGGTCTAGGCATTGGATATATTTAACCTATCTATAATTGTATTTACGAAGATTTAATCAATTGGTTTTCATTATATGACTCGAAAGAAATGTGTTGGGAAGTAGGTGCATCTGCGATCCGCCATGATATATTCTGTGGTAGGGACTTACCGTTAGTAAAATCTGCTAAGCGACTTCCAATCGGATAAACATCCTTGCTAAATATTGAGGCTAGATGCAATGCCCTGAAACTTGATCGACTATGCATTTCTCACCCTAGTCAATAATTAGATCAAAAGTTGGCGCCTGCTTCAGATTTGCAGACGCCCAGGGAACGAGTGGCTGAGAGTTACCCGGGGCAAGTTAGGGTTTTTTTTCCAAGCGCCAGAGTGGATTGGTCAATCGGACCTACATCTCGGAATATTATATTTTTGTAAGTATTCTTCCAATGATATCCTTCATATTAAAGAGCTCTGAGCTCTCCTACTATCTTAAGCTACCACTCATGCCGATCGCTGTACACGGCAGAGAGCTCAATGAAAACCAGTCGGGTCATCCCATTGACTACGGCGCTTCCCCAGAATCTGTAACACATAAAAACATAGCCCGGCTTGGGGAGAGTCTAGATCTGATGCTAATTTAATCTGTTCTAGACTTCGGATAATTGATGTCGTTGGGAAACCTTTGTTGATGTCTATATAAAGAGCCGGAACTAGTCTGGTCTTCAATCTAACAATCAGCTTCACTTTCTTTCAGAACACTCCCTTTGTTCTTGTGGGTTTTTTCCCTGCATACTTTTATTGTTTCAAAGCCTTTCATTTCACATATATTTACCGCATCGTTGCTTGTATACTCTCCTCGACTCATCCTCAACTCGCGATACTTTGGCATATACACAACCAGCCCGGCTAATTGACCCTCTCACTCCATTCATTACTCCAATACAGCCCATTCCAACCCAAATACATCCAAAAATGTCTCCTCGCTATGGCGCCCTCGGCGCAACCTTCCAAGTATCCCGCCTCTTCCAAGCCTGCTCCCTAATCGCCATAATCGGCATGACGGCCAAATTCATCAGCGTAATAATCAACAACAACGCTACACCCCCAAACATCCTAATTGGGACAATCAGCGTGGTAAGTCCACATCCTCTGTTTCATCTCTCCCCAAATCTCAATCCCACTAACAGTTCAAACCCAACAGACCTGCATCGCAGCAATTTACTGCATAATTACCGCAATCTTGTACACAGACGACATCCTCCCATTCCTAGCCTGCGCAGTACTAGACATGCTACTTCTAATCGCGCTGATTGTCGTCGCCGTTATCGTCGGCAAGCCGCTCTCATACTTAAAGTGCACAGCGTTGGCAGAGCTGGGAGACAAAGATGCTACGTCGTATGCGTTTGCATCTCGACTTTCGAGTTACATTGCTAGCGTTAGTGGGAAGATTGATTATGTTTCGTGGATTGGGGCTTCAAAGGCGATTTGTATCGAGACGAAGGCTATTTGGGGGTTGAGTATTGGGCTTTGGTAAGTTCTTTCTTTTTTCTTCTGAAGGTTTTATTTGGTTTTCATTTTATTGGGATCTTACTGACGTTTGGATTGGTTTTAGTATTCTCTTTTTCTTTTCTGTTATCTGCAATATCTGTTTGTGGTTGCAGAAGAAGAAGGCCCTTGCTGTGAAGAGTGTGGAGTAATGGACGGCTGGGATTTGGTGGGGATTGTTTATGAGAGTATATGAGTGGGAAAGGATGGATCTGGGAAGGTTATGAGATGAACGAGTTGGATCAATTGCTTTTATGTCTTTCTGGACGATTTTACAGCGCATGCATTAATATCCTATTTCAAATGAACCAATATCTAGCAATGGCAGGAATCCAATAGTACATATAAGCTGAAATAGTAATAGAGCTAGGTTGACTTTATTATGGCTTGAAAAAGTATATAACTAGCAACTATTTAGTTTGATATTTACGTAGGTAATGGTTTGCCTAGAGAAGCATGAAGAATTCTTGCAGATGGTGAGGTCCACAGGTGGAACAACCATATGGAAGATTTGGAAGATTCTACATCATTTCAAGTTTACTGAATCTGACTCCTGTCGCAACATTGAATCTTCCTCCAAATCCTAGATAGGGCGGTGCATTGGCTAAAAACCTCGAACACAAAATTCTATCCCGAACTCACAGGCGGAATAACGGCCACCTCACCCCCAGCCTGGATAACAACCTCCCCATCCTCCTCGACATCAACATACTCCCCATTCAGACTCACACCACAAGTAGACAGGACCTTATCAACAATGCCAGGGTATCGCTGCTCCAGTTGGCCAAACAGCGCGGATAGTTTCAAGGGCGCGGGGAGCGATTCTGTATTTTTGGAGGTGTATTGGGATGCAGTTGCAAAGTAGTGGATTGTGAATGTTTCCGACATGTTGAAGACAGTGAAGAGGAAGAGGTGAAAGGTGAGGCGTAGAAGAAAATAGGGGGCCGATAGATGACCAATAAAGTTGACCAATGCGGGGCACAAGATATATAAGGAAGATGTGCATTCTCTAGTCCAAAGCTCTCTACTTTGCAAGTTCACGGAACGCCCTCGCCATATCGACCTTCAAATCCTCCCAATTCTCCAATCCAATACTAATCCTCAACAATCTCCGATCCACCGTCTGATCCGTCATAGTTCTCCACTCAATAAGTGTCTCAACACCACCTAGACTAGTAGCATGCTGGAAGAAATGCAATTTACTCGGCAACTCACGCGCAAAGCGCATCTCCTTCATAACAATAGAGAAAACAGGCCCAAACCCATTAGGCATCTGCTTCTTTAACCAGTCGCCCTCGACCTTCTGCAAACTAGCATGGAGGACCTCCCCGAGAACAGCCTGCACAGCCGCCTCGTCACTGTCAGGTGCGGGGCTAGGCGCATGCAGAGCAGTATCAAGCCAGGAAATGAGACGGGCGGCATTCTCGCTCTGGCGCTGCACGCGGATCTCCAGGGTGCGCAGACTGCGGACGCCGAGCCAGCCCTCCATGCTACCCATGACGGTTCCGATAAAGAGACGGTCGGATTTCAGCTGCGCGGCCCAGTCGTCGCGGTTTGTGGCGAGGACACCGCACAGCATATCGCTGTGGCCACCAAAGTACTTGGTACCCGAGTGCATGATAATATCAGCGCCGAACTGGAATGGTTCTTGGAGGCCTGGTGGCGCGAAGGTGCTGTCGACGATGAGGTATGCACCGCGGGCGTGGGCTTTGGCAGCGTAGGAGGCGATGTCAAAGGCTGTGCCTTGAGGATTGACGGGTGTTTCGAGGAGGATCACGTCGCCTTTCTCGAGCTGGTCGGGTGAGCAGTCGAGGGGGAGCTTTTGGAGGCCGGTCAGGCGGGTGAAGAGGGCGATGACGCCATGGCAGCCGTGGTAGCCATCGCCGACGGAGATGCGGCGGGGGTTGAGGAGGGTGAGGGCGGCGTGTAGGGCTGATAGGCCCGAGGAGTAACTTATGACTTGGCCGTGTATGAGGGAGGAGAGGATTGCTTCGAAGCGGGTGGGATTAGGTGCGGACATGCGCGAGTAGATGTGAGACGTTGGATCATAGTCGGCCTACATTGGATATACGTGTTAAACGATGAGACATATAACGAATCAAGGTTCATACAGGTGTGGCATCGGCAGCTGGTACTAGCTGAGTTGGATCATTGGAATAACGAAATGTGGTAGAGAGATGCATAGGAGGAGCAACATCGGTAACGAGATTCAGGGCATCATCGGCATGCAGGGAGCGCGTGGAGGCGCCAAGGGCTTCGTTAGAATGCGACATGATAAAAAAATGCTATGTTTCTTGAATTATATGCACATGAAGGGTCCGTCCAGCAAGGTATAATACACCAAAAAAATGCGGGATCCGATCTCGGAAGAGGAAGAAGGGGAGGGGAGGGGAGGGGAATCACGTAATGGGTCACGTGGGGAAATGAATTATCGACGGATAGACCCCATACGGGATGGTTCTCGTACTAATCCAGGAAGAGCTGCCTTGAAGCTTGCGCGTGCTATCGGATAAAGTTAGCAAAAGAACAGTACAAAGGAAAGATCTAACCCACAAGCTTCTGTATCGAACGTAACGGTAAGATCGTCGTGTTCGATGGGATACTCGGGCATGTCAAGGCACACAAAGTTGGAAGCTGGATTATCGTCCTTCTTAGGCAGTGCGAACTTGGCATCTACCATGCGAATGCCGAACTTGCCGGACCGGCCAAAGGATTCCATGATATCAGTACCCTTAAGAACAAAGTTCATACATGTGCCATGCTGGAAATCCCCGAAGAAAACAAGCATTTGAACGACTTTCTCTTGTCGAACGATCTGGACTCGTGCTAGGGAAGCTTCCCATTTCTTGTAGATGGGAACCATGCTCCGTCGGCGGGAGATGGTGAATGATGTAGCCATACTAGTTTGGTCAGCAAGATCTTGACCAGAAGGCTAAATGTGATGAGACTCACCCATCGTAAAGCACCTGGAAACCAGTAACAGCTGCCTCGAAGGCATGAAGATCTAGATGGAATTAGCAAAGTAAACAAAATGTGAAAAGTAGACATACCCTGCATGGTTGGGAAGTCCAGCCGGCGGATCATAGGCTTCGCTGTAAGCTTCTCAAGGAAGCCAGTTAATTGCCCTGCCAGTTCAGGGCGAATGAGGTTATCCGCAAGCGAAAGGGTTAGATCCTGCTGTGCGGAGCGGAACAAGCTCATGCTCGTCTTGCTCTGGACATCCAAGCCAATTTTCAATTCACCAGGTCCTGGATAAAATTAGCAACCCGTTTAGAAAGAGAAAGAGATAGAGAACTCCCACCTAAGTTGATGCGATCCGTGACAGAGCCCCATTCAGTGGCGATAAAGGCCCTCAGATGTTCCGATAGAATCGTCGGTCCATAACCATGCTCAACGTAAGCATGTTCCTGATCAATAACGGACACGCTTCCGGCGGGGAACTGGAGGTATTTGACTGCGGGCTGGCCGGTCAAGGCATCTTCGGGCTGCTCGATGGAATAAGATTGAATGGCGAATTCGGGCGACTTGATCTCTCCCTCCCGTGGAATCATGCCGAGTAACACGGAGTGTATTTTCGTACGCTCAGCCACCTCGTGGAAAGTCATCAACATGGATCTGGTACGGCCGCCCTCAGTCACTTTGAGGAGAAGGGCGGGAGCACCGTCCTCTCCTCGTAAGAGACCGAACAATATTGGTGAGCCGTTGCCCAAAGTATGGCGAATGCTGCTCAAAGTCTTGACCTTGGGACTGGTCAGGACAGCTAGTCGGAATCCCCGATGCGCATTGCGAGTACCAGTGCCTTCGGTCACGGTAACAGATCGCTCGAACAGACGGATTCGACATCTTTCTGTAGGGTCTGGAGGGAATGCCTTTGGTGTGCCCGGATCCATGTATTGGAAAACCTTGAGAGTATTCTCAAACACTACAGTCTCACCTGCCTCTGGATGGAGACTGTTCTCCGAATTCTGGGTATATTTGACGATATTCCAGAGGGTCTTGAAATCTTCTTCCTTAAACATAACGTCCAACTCAAATCCTCGGGGGAGCTTGACTCGCATAGAGTGGGAGCGGACTTGCCAATCCACATCCTCCCAAGTGGGTCCCTGCTTGCGATCGGACTGGATCAAGATGTTGACAAGATTACTTTGGCTAGTAATTGCCGCGAATACATACCAATCCGCTCGTTCACGGACGATGGTCAATGCGCAGGGCATAGCATATTGCTGTTGCCCATCATCATCACTGGAGCTGACGCAGACCTGCACGAACATGCTACCATAGCTGAAGTATCGACTTGTGTCACCCAAAGGCATCATGTGTACTAAACTTGGGGTCTTGCCCACGTTATCTACCAGCATTGATCTCGTTGCCGCACCGGATAAGACTGCCGAGACGTCGGGCGCATAGAAAGGGTAACGCAGCCAGATACTCGTATCCAGCTGGCTGGGAGAGCCTTCGTCTGATACAATCAAGGTGAGGATGTTGTTTCGTTTGATAGACATGGACAGGGACCGGAGGTGATTGATGAGAGTGTGATGTATACTCAGAAGATCCGCCAACTCCTTGTCGCCGGTGGTACTCGTAACGGCCAGTAAGGCGTCAACACTCATGGCACCGTATCGAGAGAGTTCATGATGGCTGGGCACAACATTTTCATTTATCCATAATGCCTTTCCAAGATCGATCACAGCTTGCTTGGCGTATGTAGGTGGCAGTGTTGACCGGGAACGGGCATATGTTTCCAATCGTGTCTTTCCTCGCAAAAACCACCAGACCGCAGCCCGAATCCATTCTGCTAGTGAGGTTTCTACCAATGGCTTAACATCCTCTGCTGCGAGTTTAATAGAACTCTCATATCGTGCATTGTACTCTTTGAATTCCGCAAATGCGGTATCGCCAACTTGGTTGGCAACATTTCGAAGAGAAAACCTGGGGAGTTGAGCGCTACGTGGCGGCTCTTGGCCTTCGCGACTGGGAGGTGACGCCTGGCTTGAGGCAGGCAGATCCTGGGATGACAATTTGGCAGGTGGTGAAGCCTTGCCGGGGCTACCTGGTATGAGATTCGTGGGCATTCGTGGGTCAATGGGACTGAGATTCGCTGGTGCGTGTTGTGTGGCAGGGCTCGAAGGATTCCGAATCGAATCGACAATAG